TTTTCAAAATTCAATTATTTCTAAATATTCCCCTCTAATGCTTTTAATATTTAATTATTATTTAAAATTTTAACTGCAATTATTAATTTTTAAATCAATTTTTATTAGAAAATTCTTTGAGAATTCAATTATTTAAATACAAAAAAAAAAAAAAAAATAATATATTCAATAATTGAATGTTTCTTAGGATTTAATTTTTACAAAGAATTTTATTAACAACTTTTGAAAATAATTAATTTCTTTTGAGGAATTTAACTAAAATTTTACTAAAATATATAAAATTAAAGAATTTTATAACAATTTTTGAAAATAATTGAAAACTGTTTGAATTTTATTTAAATTTTTTTAAATAATTGAATTCCTGAGAAGAATTTAAATAATAGTTTATGAAAATAATTGAATTCATGCGAAGAATTTTAATTAAATTTCGTTTAAATAATTGAAATTTCGCCAAGAATATTCTTTAAATTTCTGAAAATAATTTAATTCTTGAGAAGATTTTCGCTATGTATTTATAAAAAAGATAATTTAATTTTTAATGGGAATTTTTAAAAATTTTGAAAATAATGTAATTTTTGAAAAGTATTTTATTAGTTTTCAAAAGAAGTAAATTCTTATGATGAATTTTGATATTTATCGAAATAATTGAATTTTGGAAAAGAATTTTATTAAAGTTCCTTAAAATAATTGATTTTATATGGAAAACTTTGTTGTTTATCAAGATAATTGAATTCTTTGGCAGAATTACTTAACAATTTTTTAAAATAATTAATTTCCTGTGACGAATGAAAAGTTATTTATGACAATAATTAAATTATTGCAACGATTTTTTTAATTTTATTGAATAATGGAATGCTTATTAAATTTGAATTTAGGATTTAAATCTTAAATTTATTTTAAAATTGTATTAAAAATATTGTAAATTCTGCAATGAAAATAATTGAATTCCTAAATGAAATTGAATGTTTACGTAGAATTGTATCAAAATTTTTTTTCAATTATTAAATTATTTGATAAATTTTATGAAAATAGTAAATATGGAAAATCATTGAATTGTCAAAAACTTTTGAAAATAATTGAAATTTTGCAAAGAATTTTATTAAAATTTTTGAAAATAATTGAATTCTTGGCGAAAAATTTTGCTATTTATAAAGATAATTGAATTCTTGACGAGATATTCGTTTAAATTTTTAAAAATAATTGAATTTCTTCGAAGAATTTAATTACTTTTGAAAATAATTGAATTCTTGCGATGAATATTGTTAGTTATGAAAATAATCGAATTTTGTAAAGAATTTTTTTATTATTATGATTATTATATTAATTAGTAATGGTAATTATTAATAATAATATTAATTGCAACGCTTATATTTTAATGTAAATAAATAATTAATAATAAAAATTATATCTCCAAGGCAAATGAAAGTCAATGAATTAAATTCGAAATCCACCTTGAAAACTGATCCGACGCGACATGTTTTTTTAAAAAAGGAATGCTACAAATTACGTGATGAATTATTGAATGGAAATCGGGAATTATTAATGAAAAGACGAGACCATTTAAAATTGATATTTTTGCAAGATTCAATGGACCAAGAAAAAATTATGAGAGAACATGGCTACGCCTTCATTCCAACACAACCGTGACGACAAATAATTATTATTTCAAAACTCATTTCTCAGGCTTCTCATTATCTTCTGCACGATCTTGACCGATTTACTATTTATTTTAGCATTTGCAAAAAAAAAAAATAAAAAAAAAAAAAATAAAATAAAAAAATAAATCGTTAGAATTTACTCTGTATAGGTAAACTATTTCCATGTTGATACAATATATTTCGCTGAGAAGAAAATTCCATTTCATTTTATAATAATGAAAAAAAAAATATTTTTTTCGATTTTGAAGAATAAATTTATTCTGAGATAACTGTGAATGATAAAAATTTTAAAAAATACAATAATAATAAAACAGGGTTGTCACAAAAATTTGATTTTTTCTGTTTTCCAGACAGAACTTAGACTTTTTCTCTAATTCCTTTTTTAAAAGTAAAAACAAAACTTAAAAAGAATTCGATTATAATTCTTTAAAAATACGTTTATTTTAAAATCTCTCATAAAATTCTTTAAAAAAATTGAAATATTTTCAATTTAATTTCACAAAATTTTAATTAATTTGATATTTCTGAAATAAATTTTTTTTTTAATTCCACTATCTTTAAGCAATTGAATTAAAATTTCTCAGGAACCTAATTACAAAATAATTATATAATTATTCAAAATAAATTGAGTTGTTTACAGGAAATAGAAAAAAACAAAGTACAAAGTACAAAGACTCCAAAAAACATAAATTTTATAAAGAAATGAAATAAAGATACAAAATTTTGAAAAATGAAATTATGGAAAAAAGATAATAATAATAAAAATAATATTAACACTAATAAATAATATATAATAGTACGTTTTCAGGAAAATTCATATTTATTATACTTCGTAGAGCTTACAATTTTATCATTGATAGACATAAATAAAATATATATTTAGGTAGATATCTTACACGATCACGGAGAGAAGAAAATATATAGAAAAATTCTCGCGCGCATTTTATTAAGTATGACTTTGGTTCATTCCAAAAAAAAAACAGAATAGAGAAATTTTCTTCTCTTTGATTATTATTTTCTTTTCTTATCTTTTCTTTTTTTTTACTGAGAAAAAGGCCTCAATTATATATTTGTCTCGCGTTTCTCTCCTTTGAAAAACTTAACACGCAAAAAGGAAGGAATAATTGTTTTTTTAACTTCCTACTTCCTATTCAGTTTTTACCTATACAAAAAAATGACAATTTTTTTTTGTTTGCAAATTTTGCAAAAGCTTTTGTTTTCTGTTTAATTCTATAAATTAAAAATGATCGTATACAATCTAAAAACGACTTTTTTTAAAATTAAAATTAGAAAAATTTGCGACGGTTTCTAGAAATTCGAATTTTTAATTCGAATTGACTTTTTTTTGTTCTACTTTTGCAAATAAAAAATTCTATTTTTAGTTTTTTATTAGTTTTTTAGAACAATCACTAGAATTAGTGGTTCTTTTTAAGTTAGAATATTTTTTTTCTCTTTTAATTCTATTTACACAAAGGAAATTTATTTAAAATAATTCCTAGAGAAATTTCCACTCTTCTGAAATCTGAGTTGTTTTCAAAGGCCTCTGACTGGTTCTGCAAAATTTTCTTAGTTTTTTTTTTTATCTTTTTCGTTTTTTTTCTCACAATTTTAACCGTCGAATCACCTTGAATTTCCTTTATAACTTTATGGACGGCAATTGTCGCACATGAAGTTTATTAGTTTGTCGAAGACAAGAGACTAATAAAAATTTCGAAGGTTGTATTTCATTCTCGATCGTAAGTTAAATAAGTACTTTTCGTAAATTATAATTATTTAATAACACAATTATTGTGCGTTTATGAACATCTAGTTTATTTATTTATTTTTAATAAATTTCCTACTTGATTAAAATTATCTCTATACGTCCATAGACAATTTTGATTTTTATCAAACCGGTGAAGGAATATTTTTTAACAATTTCATTGTTTCTTAGATCTAATTATAATAGATTGTAATATAACTGTCATAATTATAATAATAATTATCATAATAAAATAATAATTATCAGAATAAGAATAATAATTAACATAATGATAATCATACTGACAATTATTATGATAATTATAATAATAAACATAATGATAATGATAATAATTATAATGATAATAATGATAATAAAAACGATTATAATAATAGTAATAATAGTAGAATTAATAATAATTTTTACAATCATAATTTTTATAATAATAATAATATTGCAATATATTATAATATTTACTAATTTAATATTGCAATATTCGTAATGATTTAATATTGATAATATTGATTTACTAATTTACTAAAAATAATTAAACAATATTATTAATGTATACTATTAATAGATTTAATATCTAGCAATAATATTATGCGGACATTTTTAATATCAAATAATAGTATTTGGCATGGCAACATGAACAAAAAATTTTGTGCGCAGAGTTTTTTTTTCTAAATTGAAACAAGTTTTACGCCTTAATATTTAAACTTATATTAATTATTAACATCATGAATAAAAAATCTCGTTGAAATAGACAATTCAAATAAATAATGCAATTACATTAATGTACAGTTTTCATTTCATAAAAAAAATTGTTTAATACTTTCATCATATAATTTACGTACCTAACATACAATTAAATCATTAAATGACAATTTTTTATAATAAATATTATAAAATGTATGTTTTCCATTTTTAATTTAATTAACATATATATTTTTATTCTTAATAACTCAATTACTTTCATTACTAAAAAAAGTAAAAATAATTTTTGAAAAAGTTTCTAAATATAATAATTAAAATCATTTTCATTCTGCTTGATAATTAAATTGTTTTCATTCCTTTTAATAAGTAGATTATTTTCATTCTTTTTATTAATTAAAATTTTATTTATTTTTTTTAATAATTAGACTATTTTCATTCATTTCTAATAATTGAATTATTTTTATTCTTTTAATAATTAAACTATTTTTAATCCTTTTAAAGGAATTTTTTTTATTCTTTTTAATATTTAAATGACTGTAATTTCTTTTAATAATTGAATTATTTTTACTCCCTTTCATAATTAAACTAATCCCTTCAAAGTGATTTTTATTCTTTTTAATAATTAAATATTATTTATATATTCTTTTCAACAACTGAATTAACTTATTTTTTTTTAATAATTAATTTTCATTTCCTCTAATAATTTAATTATTATTTATTATTTTTAATAATAAATATTATAAAAAATTGTTTCCTCGAGTCTCTTGTCTTCAATATTTATAGAAATCGAAGCTTTATTTCCGAATTAATAAAAATTTATTAATGTTAAGAAACTAGAATTTGGAACCTAAAATTGCTTGTCCAAATTTTTTTTTACAATTGTGTCAAGGCATAAATTTTTCTTTTTAATTTTTACAATTGATTCACAATTTGACAATTTTAGATGTAAATTTTTACAGTTGCTGAATTTTAATTATAAAATATCGACCAGAAATTTCTTTTAATCCTGCTTACTGCTTCCTTTGTGCATAAAAATTTGTCTAAAAATAGTATTTTCGTTCCTTGAGAGGTAATTATTTTTATTTAGTTTAAGTCTGAGTTATTATTTTTTTTCTTTAGTAGCAATCTTGTAGAAGTTTTCGTTGAATGACTAAGTCAAACTTTTTTCACTTTTTTTTATTCGAAATAATAAAAATTGAGAAAGAAAAAATAAAAACTAAATAAAAATTAAAAGACTATTTTGATAAATTCATTTGGAAAAAAAATCTAAGTGAAAATAATTTTTTTAAGTTCATTTATGAAAAAATTTATTTTTTTAAAAATTAACTTAACGAAAAGTTATTTTTACTATAAGTTTTAACCTATAGTGAAAATACTAATAATTTACCATTTTGGTAAATTAGTTTAGAAGAAAATAGAATCTAGTAAAAATTTGACTATTTAATTTGACAAATTCGTTTTTGAAAAAAATTAAAACGAAGTGAAAATACTATTTTACTAAAAATTCATTTTGAAACCGTTTTTTGTAAAACATTTTGTAAATAATTTTTTTCGTAGAAATTTTTTCGTTCCTTCAAACTTTGTTTGAATTACAAAAAAAAATTGAATAGAGAAATAAACAACTCAATATGTCTTACAAATATCGAGTTCGTTACTAAGTTTTCTAAACGTTATTGAACTGAAGTAAAAATTCTTTTTTTTTCTATTTACAATCGAACGTATATTATGCTTATTTGTAAAAAGCGAAATTGCATTCTTCATGAGGACAAATGACGGTTGAGAAACACTGTTCAAAACCGAAAGTCGTCGTCCTGTTGATGTTGAAAGAAAGTGATTTCGCGTTTCGCTTTCTCCATTTTTCATCTATCGATTAGTTTGGAGAAAAAAAAGAAGTGTTATCGTAAAGTTCCGGTGATGTCATTTCCGTCATTCTTCTTCTTCTTCTTCTTCCTCTTCTTTTTTTTAACGAATCTAATTTACAACCCACTGTAAAACGCTGGTATCACCACCTCCAATTGATGCAAGCCGGGTATCATCCTGCAGAAAGGCGACATTTGTCACGTGACTCGAGTGACCTCCATAAGAATGGTGGAGTGACTGAAAAAAAGAGTCCAAAAAATTATGCAAGTGACCTTTCCAAATTCGATTTTTAAATCAGAATTTTTTTTACGCTAATAAATTTTGCAAAGTTGTTTTAAATCTTTTGTAATTTTTTAGGCAAGTAGAAATTACTTAAAAAAAAATCAACTAACATTTTTGAAAAATTAAAAAAAAGTAGAAAGTAAAAAATTAGAAATATTTTTGTAAAATATCTCTAGCGCTATTTTCAGTAATTTATCATAAAAATTCAAAAGTACAAAAAATAGGATAGAATTAATTAACATAAATAGTAATTGTTATTAATTTTAATTCTTTACTTTTACTTTTTACTTTTTTACTTTACTTTTTTATAATTTGAAATATTTATAAAAAATTATTTTTAAATAGCCCTATTCTACACTGAAAAAGAATTTATTTGATGCAAATAACCTATTACTTGACTATTATCAATTAAATATTTAATTTAGTCAAATAACTTTTTATTTGAAGTAATTAAATGGTATTTGCTTCAAATACTATTTAATTGACTTAAATAAAAATTGCTTGATTCAAGTAAATATTTAATTGATAATTGTCAAGTAATCGGTTATTTGAATCATTAATTAATTAATTAATAACCAATTAATAAGAAGTTGATTAATGACGAAATTAATAATTAGATAGTTAATAATGAATAAATAATAAATTAATTATTAACAAATAATTGACGAATTAATTAATAACGATTTAATAACCAACAAATTAATAATGAATTAAAAATTTAAAAAGAAATTAATTTGATACGAAAATAATAATTAATTAATTAATACAGAGTTAATCAATGATGAATTAATAAGTAATTAATAATAAATTAGTTGACAACGAATCAATAATAAATTAATTAACAACGAATTTATTAATAATGAAGTAACTAATAAAGATTTAATAATTAATTAGTTAATAACGAATTAATAAGAAATTAATTAATAACGAATTAATAAGAAATTAATTAATGAGGAATTAATTAATAAGGAATCAGTAAATAATTAGTTAATAACGAATTAATAATAAATTAATTCATAACGAATTAATTAATATATTATTGACGAATTAATTAATTAATAATGCTTCAAAGTGATTAATAATGAAAATATTTTTAGTCAAAAAAGAACAGATTTTTTTTTTTTTTTTGAAAATTTGAAACAAAATATTGTTGAACTCTTACCTTTGGTTGGCAAACCGGATAAGAGAAGAGCTTGACTTTACCAAAATCATCACCAGTGGCAAGTAACTTGCCATCTCCGCTGCGTGAACAATTATTAACATCAGTGCCGTCTGCACCATCTGGCCAAATACCGATTGTTTCAAAAGAAATAACACAATTCTGTGTTGACCAATCGACATCCCTTAAAGTTGACGATTGAGGAATTTGTCGGCAAACTCCCGGATTCCCTAAAAAAAAAAATTTTTAATTTCTTTCTCTTCTTTACCACACTGTCAGTAAGAAAGATTTCCTTCGAGTAGGAATTTCTCTTCACAGCATAAGATAGTTTTTATTTTATATTTATCATTATTTATTATTTGTTTATTATTATTTTTTACTTGTTAGTTATTATTTATGATTTATTATTCAATTACAAATATTAGGTAGTTATTTTCATTCAATTATAGTTTTCGAAAATATTTCAACTTGAAAAATTGAATAGTTTTTGAAAAAGTAAACAATGAATAAAAAATAATTAATTAACAAATTAAATAAAATAAAAACATGAATTATGTTCGTCCAGTGGTTTAATAAGTAAATAAGTATAAATAAAGTAAATAAATAATAAAATATGAATAAAATATTTAAATAAATAAATAATAAAGTATAAATAAAGTAGATAAATTAAAAAATTAAAAAATAAATTAAATTAAAATAAATAAAATATAAATAGAATAAATAATAAGAAATAATAAGAAACAATAATGAAAAAAGTAGGAGATGATAAACTTTTTCAAATTGAAAATTATACTCACAGTAAAGTAATTCGTAATCCCCGCTATTACTTCGAAGATAATTTCCATCTGCCGACCAGTCTAAATGAGTTATAAAACTGGAATGTCCCTGGAAAAAATAAATAGTTTTTAGTTTTTAAGTAAATATTAACAGGATTCTATTTTTGAAAATAATTTCGTAACATATTTGCTAGTTTACATTATAAATTCATAATTCAGTACAGTAAACTCTCGATAATTGAACATAAAACTGTTTTCAAGAAATTACAGTAAATTTTCGATAACTAAACAATTATCTCTTTATTTTTTATTTTCTATTTTTTCTCTCCTTATTTATTTCTTTAAATATATTTATTTAGAATCGCAACTAAAATTTAGTATTAGAGACGGTGAATTTTTTTAATTAATTCATTTATTGTAATAAATTAATTATTAACAAAAATGCAAAAATTTTTTGAGAAATATTTAATAGAAATATTCGGCATAAATATTTAATACAAATATTTAGCATAAATATTTAATACAAATATTCAATAGGAATGTTCAATAATATAAATATTTAATAGTACAAATATTCAATATAGAAATTTTCAATATAAATAATCGAAAGTATATTATTTACTGAAACAAATATATTTTCATTCATTTATTCGCCAAAAAGTTAGTAATAAGTTTTACTTTCATTATCGAAATATTACTGCACAGTTTTTTCTTTAATCCCGAATTTCTCTCGAACATGCGATTTTGCTGCAAAAATAATAACGATGCGAGTATAATGAGATAAAAAGTAGAAAACAAATATGAAAAGCGTGCTTGTGATGAAGTAATGGCTTGTCTCTAAAAATTTTTTTCATACATATTTAAAAAGAACAAATCTACTTTCTATTTTCTCTATATAGAATTTAATGGTTTTCCAAAAGAGACATTTTAAAAAATTACGATAAACTAATTTTTCTAAATTTCTCAATTTCGAAATTTTCTTCTTGGAAATTTCTTGGAATTTCTTCGAAATTTTAAAATAATTTTTATGTTATATTTTAATATTTCTATATATTAAATAATATATCAACGAAAATGTCTATTTCGGAGATGAATCAATGACAAATCTTACTCCGCGTCTTCGAATCCGCTTTGGCTGGAAAGCGAGAAAAAAATTTATTATTTCAGTTATTATTTGATAAAAGAAGCCTTCGATTTTCTCGACAGTTTTTTTTTGTTTTATCATTTAATTATTATAAACTTTTTTTTTTGGGAAATTATTCAAAATAAATTTCAACCTACCATGCAACGTCCAACTCGACTGTATTTTATCGCATCCTCGCTCACTTGATAAATGTAAATATGATTATCCCGAGAACCAATAGCAAGTAATGAACCGTCAGGTGAAAATTTCATTATCTGAAAACAATTCATTTAATATTATTATATTCCAACTTTTATTCTTTTTCAGTTTTAATGTTTTATTTTTTCACTTTTAATGTTTAATTTTTTCGAACTATTATTTTTTTCACTTTTAATGTTTAATTTTTTCGAACTTTTATTTTTTTTTCTTTTCTTTGCTTTCATTCTAGAAGAAAACAGAATTTCTCAAAATAAAAATTCTCTATTCTGACAACAAATATTAAATATAGGAAAAAATTGAACAATTTTCGATTGGAAATAAATTGCAAAATTAATTATTAAATATTATAATTTTATAATTATTAATTTTACAAAGACAGGTAAAAATTCAAAAAAAAAAAAAAAAAAAAATTGTAACACAAAAAAAAGAAGAAGCTGAACAATAAAGTTTACAAAAATTTGCTTAATTTAATTTGGAGGATTTCCAAAAAGAAGTTTGCCAATTTTTTTCCGCCTATTTATCTTATATATGCGCTTGACGAAAGAATTAGGACACATTCATTATGGAAAGTACAATTGTTATTAATCAATTACATTGTATCTTGAAATGGTTCATTGTTTTCTATATATATATATTGCAAAATCGATTCTCACCTGAATTGGCTCAGAACCGTCTGAATGATGACTGTATAATTCTCTTGTCTCACTATCAATCACTAGCCATTTTCCATTCGTGCAACCGACAACCAATATATTTCCGTCTGGCGAAAAGCAAACGCTCTGCGCTTGTTCCTGAAAATAATTAGCATTTTCAATTAATTCGTTAAATCGATCCAGTAAAATTATTATCAACTATTTATTTATTTTTACTTTTCGAATTTATAAGCCAAATTTTTTATTTTAAAAAAAAAGTTGAATCCTCTTTTTGATGACTTTTAATTAAAATTATATTCTCGTGACAAGGAAATTTATTTAAAATTTGCAAACAAATTATCTTTTTTGCTTTCCTCAGTAAAAAAAAAATAAATTGAAACCTTTTATCGATGACTTTTAATTAAAATTCAAGAGACGAAAATAAATTCACCTCGTGCAGTGGTTGAATGAGGAGACATAAAATTTTTTTCATATTTTTTTTTTGTAAATAAAAATTCAACGAAAAGTGTCGTTAATTAGGGAAGGTCAAGAAGAAGAAAAAAAAATTGTCTCATTGGAAGATATTATATTGAAAGGTCGAGCTGAAAACTCACCCCGATGTCCTTGCTCCAAACGACAGTGTGACTGAGACTGTCCCACATTTGTAATAAGCGATCGTGAGCTGCAGTTGCAAATTGTGGTAAAGTTGGATGCGACGCCAAACCCCATACCTCGTCGGCGTGTCCCAAAACAGTTGGATGAAATTCCATTTCCATATCGCCGACCAAAATGCAATTTCTCGTAGTGCCCACTAAATATTGAGAACCCCTGCCCTCGTTCACTGTGCGAATTCCGCCAAAATGATCCTCGATCTGGCAAATTGTATAATGAGAGTTGAAATTACTCAATCTTCAATGCCTCGACCTCTTTTATAAAGACCTCATTGTAACTTTTGGACGAACGTCTCCAACATTCGTAAAATGAGATAATCGCAATCGTCCACTATTCTCCTTATTTTATTTTCAATTTTCAATAAATAAATATTTAAATAAATAAAATTTTTTTATATTGTAAAAATTTAATGTCCTTTTTATTAACTTTTTATTTCAAGTTCCAATTTATTTTATTTGATATACTAGCTAACTTCTTACTGGCCTTTTTTAAATAAAATTATTAATTTTAAAAAAAGAATTTAAAAATTAAATTTTTGTTAAAAACACTAAAAAAATTCAATTTTGGAGAAATTTCAAATAATTGCAGAAATTCAATTATTTTCAAAAAAAATAAAATTCTTCTTAAAAAATTCAACTATGTTCAAAATTTGAAAAAAATTCTCGTAAAAATCCCAATTATCTTTATAAATAACAAAATTCTTCTCCAAAGTTCAATTTATTTTCATAAATGTCAAAAAAAAATTCTTGTCCTAATTTCAATTATTTTCAAAAATAAAATGCATTTTTCTAATTTCAATGATTTTCAATATCTACGATTTTAATAAAATTTCCCAAAAAGAATTCAATTATTTAAAAAAATTTTTTTAAAAAATTGTATGCAAACATTTAATTATTTTCATAAAATAATAAAAATTTCACAGGAATTCAATTATTTTCATAAATAATAAAATTTTTTTAAGGAATTCAATTATTATTTTCATAAAAAATAATTTAAAATTGTAGAAAATAATAATTGAATTAAAATTTTGAAAATAATTTTGATAAAGTTACAGTTACAATATTTACTTGAATCAAGTAATTTTTATTTAAATAAAAAAAAAGTTGTTTGAAACTAAAATTTCTGTATTTGATCAAATACAGTTACATTGATTTAAATTATGAATTATTTTTTGCAAATAAATATTTACTCGATTCAAATAATCGACTATTTACAATGAAAGAAATATTTCCTTTATTCAAAATAATTACAAAAGAAAATAATTATAAAAAATACTTATAAAAAATAATTACAAAAAAATAATAATAAACATTAATTATAAAAAATAATAAGATAACCATTTCTATACTAAAGCAAATAATGTTTTATTAATTTCAAATAAAAACATTTTTTCTTAGAAAAAAATTTTTATTTGATTCAAACAATGGATTAGTTATTAAAGAAATATTTTTTCATATTACTTAACTTTTATTTGACATAATTATTTTTACTTATTATTAAATTAATATTTACTTGATAAGTATTTAATCGATTATTAAATTAAAATAAATTTTCATTTTTTAGTGTAAAAAAGTTTATTTTTGTACCTGTGCACTTTGTCCAGTTTTATTCAAGGACCCGTCCAAATGATAAAGCATTCCATCTTTGCCACCACCCGTGACAATATTTCCGTCCTTTAAAACGCACATGGAAAATATCGATCCCTCGTGAACATTTTTCACCAGCCTTGCAATTGTATTTGTTCCTTGAAAATAAAGAAAAAAGAAATTTTTCTTTTCGGAAAATAAAGGACAATTTTTTTTTCGAAAACAAAAAAAAAACAGTTTTTCTTCAAAAACGAAAAATAATTTTTTTTTCGACAGTAAAAATAATGTCTTTCTTGAAAGAAACTAATATGTTTTTTAATTACAATACAATGGAATTGAAATTGAATAAAATGTAATTGAATTCAATAAAATGGATTTGAATGGGATTGAATAGGATTGAATAATATTTAATTCAATTTCAGACAGTGGAATTGAATTGAATTTAATTAAATTGAATTGAATAAAATCTTAATTAATTTAATAAAATGGAATTGAATTAAATTGAAGAATATTTAATTGAATTTAATTGAATAAAATCTAATTGAATTTAATACAATGGAATTGAATTTAGTTTAATAATATTTGATTGGATTTAATTGAATAAAATAGATTGAATTAAATTGAATAATATCTAAATGAATTTAATAAAATGAAATTGAATTGATAATAAAATGGAATTTAATTGAAATACGTGTAATTGAATATAATGCAGTGGAATTGAATTGGATTAAGTAATATTTAATTCAATATAATACAATGCAATTTAATTGAATTTAATAATATTTAAATAGATTAATTGAATGGAATAAAATCTAAATCAATTTAATAAAATGGAATTGAATTAAATTGAAGAATATTTCATTGACTTTAATTAAATAAAATCTAATTGAATTTAATACAATGGAATGGAATTGAATTTAATAATATTTAATTGGATTTAATTGGATAAAATGGATTGAATTGAATTGGAAGAAATCTAAATGAATTTAATAAAGTAGAATTGAATTGAATTGAATAAATTCTATTTGAATATAATACAGTGGAATTGAATTAAATTTAATGACTTGAATTCAATTCAATAATATTTAATTGGATTAAATTAAATAGAATTGAATAAAATGTAAATAAATTTAGAAAAATGGAATTAAATTAAATTGAAGAATATTTAATTCAATTGAATTTGATAAAATCTAATTCAATTTAATACAATGCAATTGAATTGAATTTAATCAAATTGAATTGAATTTAATAATATTTAAATAGATTAATTGAATAAAATGGAATGAATTTAATTAAATAAAATGTACTGAATTTAATTGAATAAAATCTAAATGAATTTAATAAAATGGAATTGAATTGAGGAATATTTAATTGAATAAAATCTAAATGAATTTAATAAAGTAGAATAGAATTGAATAAAATCTAAATGAATTTAGTAATTTGGAATTTAATTGAATAAAGCCTAATTGAATTTATTAATATTTAATGGGATTGAATAAAATTGAATTCTAATTTAGTTGAATAAAATGGAATTCCATCTACCTCTCGCCCAAACAATAATGTTCCCATTACTGTCGCCAGTGAGGACATCACCATTTTGATTGAAGGCAACGCAAGTCACGTATCTTGGCTTCTCGCGACTCTCGAAAACACCCATTTTCTTGTAAAGCATACCGCCATTGTCCAAGGACCAAAACGAAACGTGTCCTTTGCCACACGAAACAATCTGATTTCGTTCCAGCGGATGCCATTCGGCGCACACCACCGTATCAACCGAACACTGTAATTGAAAATTGTCCTCTCCGTTTAATCACTTACTTCCGCTGGTATAAAATATTTATCAACAATAGCTAACGGACCAAAAAAAAAGAAACCAAGCAAAAAAAAGTAACAAATGTCATCCTGTTTATTTATAGATTGTTATTTGTTAAATGTACTGTATAATTATTTTCTTTAGCAAAAAAAGGGAGATTTACCTTCGTCTCGGTGACTTTGACACCACGTTCACCCTTCTGCCAGTCCCAGATGGAAATATTGTGATCCGCTGTCTCATCAATGGCGCACAAAAAATTCCCCCCGTCTGCTTTCGAGAATGAGAGACAGCAAATTGATCCATCGAATTCACCGCTTCCGATTACTGAGAGTGTTGTTAAACTCACTGAATTCCATATCCTAATGTGTGGCTGCAAAAGAGGGTGGAAATTTTTTTTAGGTTGATAGTAGTGGTAGGGGTTGATTTTAGTCAGGCGGAATCATTTAACAGTCAATAAGGCGCTAGGTTTTTGTAATTAGTAGAACAGGACATTTATGGTCAGACTAAGGATTTTTCAGTCTTCTTAATTTTTTGACTAGGGAAGAACAATGTTTTTATGGTGATTATAGTCGAACGTAATTAATTATTATTTCTGTGGAAGTCAATAAAACGTTCAGTTTTCTGTTGTAAGTAGCAAATGACATTTTTAGTCAGACTGGGAATTTTTGGTTTTTCTTAATTTTTTAACTAGGGGAAAAAATCTTTTTATGTTCATTACAGTCAAACATAATTTTTTTAAGCCAATAAAATGTTAAGTTTTTAGTAGTTAGTAGTAAAAGCCTTTGTTAGACAGACTGAAAATTTTTTTGTCTTTTCTTAATTTTTTGAATAGGGAAAAAAATGAAAAAGATTTCTGTCTGACTGCAATCAACAAGTTTTTGTTTTTGAGTATTAACTATAGTGGAATTTTGTCGTAAGTATTGGAGTTTTTGTAGTAAGTAGTAAAAGACATTTTTAGTCAGACTGTGAAATTTTTGTCTCTATTAATTCTTTGACTAGGGAAGAACAATGTCTTTATGGTGATTATATTCGAACGTAATTAATTATTTCTGTGGAAGTCAATTAAACGTTTAATTTTTTGTTGTAAGTAGCAAAGAACATTTTTAGTCAGACTGGGAAACTTTGGTTTATTATTATATGAATAGGCAAAAGAATCTTTTTATGTTAGTTACAATCAAACATAATTCTTTATTTCTTTGATACTCAACAATAAGTTTTTCTTCTTGAGTAGCAAATAGTTGAGTTTTTGTATTAAGTAGTAAAATCAATTTTTAGTCAGACTGGGAATTTTTTATTTTATTTTTCCTCAAGAAAAAAAAATTTTTTCTTGTCGATTTCAGTCAGATACAATTCTTTAAAATCCAACAAGACGTTGAGTATTCGTGATAAGTAGTTGAGTTTTTGTAGTAAGTAGTAAAAGACATTTTTAGTCAGACTGAAATTTTTGTCTTTCCATAATTTTTTCTCTAGGAGAAAAAATGTTTTCTCGTTCATTTCAGTCGGCAAAAATTCTTTTATAATTAATTAAGACTTTAAGAGACAATCAATTAAGACAATTTAGAGTTTTTTTTAATTAGTAGTAAAGGCCATTCTGAGTCAGACTGATAAATTTTGTTTTTTTCTATTATTTTATTAGGGAAGAGAAATGTGTTGTTGTTGATTTTAATCAAATACAATTATTCAGAATAACGTAAGATAATGTTTAAATTTTCATTATTTTTTTATAAAAGTAGTAAAAACTACTTTAACCGATTTTCAAAGTCAGACAAAATTTTGTTGCAGTAGCAGCAGATTATCAGCGCCAGACAAATTTTTTGTGCCAGTAGTGTCAGATTGTTAAAGTCAGACAAATTTTTCTCTCAGTTGTAACATGTTATCAAAGTCAGACAAAATTTTCTGTCAGTAGTAACAATTTATCAAAGTCAGACAAATTTTTTTGTCAGTAGTAACAATTTATCAAAGTCAGACAAATTTTTCTGTCAGTAGTAACAGTTTTTTAAAGTCAGACAATTTTTTTTCCTGAGTAGTAACAGATTGTTACAGTCAGACGAATCCACATAAAAAAAATTTAAGGGAATTACCGGTTGGAAAATCAGTTAGAATTAAAATTAAAATTTTTATTTTCCTAATTTGCGAATTTTAATAATTTTGACATCAGTAGTTATAGTATGCTTTAGTCAGACATATCCTTTTTCTAAGAATTCATTTTTTTATGTAACTTTTTTTAAATTTTCTTTTTATATTTTTTTTCTTCTTTCTTGACAAGTTATTTAGGTAAAAAATGTTTTCTTTGGTATTTTTTTTTAGATTTTCTTTTAGATTTTCTTTAGTAGTACAGGGGAATTAGACTCAGACTATTTATAACAATTTTTGAAGTTTAAATAAAAATATTCATTGACCCTCATTAGTAAATAATAGTTTCATTCATTCTGACTTGAAATGTTTTTCAAATATAGTTTTTATTAAATTTCAAATTTGACAAAAATAATTATTTACCATGGCGTTTCGATCGACACCAGCAACTTGACCAGTGGCGACAACTAATTTATTAGGGTGTATGGCCATGCTGTAAAAATAAAATCAACTTTTATTTACAAACATTTCATAATTAGTCTTATTATTTATAATAATCTTTTTTATAATTATTTTTTTATAATAATATTTATAATAATAATAATAATTATTATTATTATAGTAGTAAAATAATAAATAAATAAATAAAATAACAAATGAAAAATATAAAAAGTAAGAAAATAAAATGAAATTGACGACTTACCACTTGACATCGTCAGTGTGACCAATGTAATGTCTTTGACTGTGTACCTCCATATTGTAAAGAACAACAACGCCGGCGACAAAATAGACAATTTCTCCCGTTGGAAGGAGATGTAAATTATTTCTACAGTCTCTGCCTCTGTATCCGTAGACCCAGTCTAATTTCAATTTGCTCTGAGGTGGTGTATTAACCTTATGGGGATCGTAGGTATCCGCCAATGGAGTAGGCACATAAAGGACAATTGGCCGTCCTCGAAGGTATATTCGCACTGTACCTTCATCCTCGTTGTACTGCATGTCTCTAGTGCTGTCGAAACAACAAATTTTACAACTCCCATAAATCACATTTTTCTCTATAAAAATTATTTTTTCTTTTGTGGAAAAAAATTATATTTCTTTATTTCTCCTTTTTGTTAATTTTTTAATAAACAATTTTTAAATTCTGTTTATAGGAAAAAATTTTTATTTTTATTCATTTTATTATTATATACTTTTTTAAGTTTATCTTTGTAAATAGGTAAATAATATTTTATTTTATTATTTGCCCATTATTACTTCTTTTTTATTTTTTCTTATTAATTTAAATATACAGACAGGTGATAATAAATTTTATTATTATTCATTTTTCCCTATTATGTAATTTATTTTAATTTTTTTATTTTCTTTCGTTTAATTTTTATTTAACTATTATTTATTTACTTTTATTGTTTATTTATTTATATTTATTTATTATTTTATTTACTTACTTATTTTAAAATTTATATATAAATAAATAAAAGAAGGAAATTAAAAATAAATAAATTTTAAATAAACAAAGATATTTGTTTATTTAAAATTTATTTATTTTTAATTTCCTTCTTTTATTCATTTTCTTTATTTTTCATTTTATTTCTTGTATTTATTTATTTATTTTTTTAAATTTTCGTTTAATTTTTTAGTTGTTGCATAATTAGGTATTATTTTCATTGAATCGATTACAAAAGGTGGATTTAAATTTTTTCGCCTTTTTTGCAATTATTCTGTGTTGTGACTCACGGCTTTTGATCTAGGACGCGCGGCAAAGTGAATTTAAAAAGTGCAGCCTCTCCAGCTGGAAGCTGTTGCACCACTGGTGCGAGTTGAATTACGCTAGGATGAAATTATATTGGCAAAACGAGGGACATTTTTTTCATCCAAGTGGCTGACTCATTTTATTCTGAGGACTGCTAACGCACCTTCTCATCATGTTCACTCAAAAGTAACAAAGTTATGCTTCGCGAATTATTTTCACTTTTCTTTGTCTTTAAGCACGCGCGCTATTCCTTAGACAATAAAAATTAAGACGAAGAAGAATAAGAAGAAAAAATAAATATCTCAGGTTCAAAGCGTCTTTTGAATGTGAAATTTAAATTTGTAGTTTCTGATTTTATTTGTAAATTTTTTTTTTAACTCTATAGTAAAGTTTTTATTTTCCATAGAGTTTCCTATTATATAATAATTGTAATTTTTGTTATAAATTAAAATATTATTTTAATAACTACAATATTTTTAATTGGAAATATTCAATAATAATATATTAGTGATGGAAAATATTTAAAAATAGTATTTTTGTTGAAAATACTTAATAATAGTATTTTGGTTGAAAATATTTAATAATAATATTTAACTTGAAAATATTTAATAATAATATTTTTATTACTCCCTAATTTGAATTAGACGCTTTTAACTAATTTAACAACGATTTTTCAACAATTAAATTAATTAATAACAAACTAGTAACTAATTCGAACTAATTTAATTAATTGGTGACTTAACAGACTTACTTATACCAAAAACAATTTTTTTAGTTAAAATATACTAGTTAGTAAAAAAATACTAGTAAAAAATACTAGTTGGTAGTAAAAAATTACTAACTTGTAGTAAACTAAACTACTGATTCGTTTACTGAAATTACTATTTCTAATAGTAAACATTACTGACAAATTTGATTCAATTTTTGTCAAAATACAGTAAAAGTGGTCAAAAATAATTAATTGGTAATAAAAAGTTTTTTATTCCAAGTAGAAAATTACTAATTAGTAGTAAAATCTTAATTTTAATAGCAGAATTATTATTTTAATTAGTTAAAAAGAAATAAAAAAAACTAATTAGTAGCAAGAAATTTTCAATCCCTAGTAGAAAATTACCAATTAGTATTTAGTAGTAAAAAAGTATTAATTTCTTTAGTAAGATTACTATTTTAATCGGTAAATATCACTAAAAGTTTTTTTTGTCGAATCTTTGTCGAATTATAGTAAAAAATAATCAGAAATAGTTAATTGCTAGTAGGGAATTTTTCATTCCTAGTGGAAAATTACTAATTACTATTAAAAAAAATATTTTCTCTTTTATTTAAATTTTTATTTTAAGCAGTAAACTTTGTTAATAATTTTTTATTGGATTTTTATCAAAATATATTTTAAAAATAGTAAAATAGCAGATTGACACTAAGAAATTTTGAATCAGTAGTAAAATATTTAACTAGTAGTTAAAAACTATTAATTTCTGTAGACAGATTATTTTTTTTATCAGTAAACTTTCCTGATCTTATTGAATTAAAGTTTGTAAAAAAATATTTAAAAAACAATTTAAAAAAGCAAATTAGTAGTAGGAAATTTTCAATTCCCAGTAGAAAATTACTAATCAGTCATTAGTAGTAAAAAAAGTATTAATTTGTTTAGTAAGATTACTATTTTAATCGGTAAATATTGCTAACAGTTTTTTTTGTCAAATCTTTGTCGAATTTTAGTAAAAAAAAAATCAGAAATAACTTTGAACAGAAATAATTTTGAATTAGTAGTGGAATATTAAACTAGTAGTAAGTAACTATTAATTTTTGTAAATAGATTATTCTTTTTATCAGTAAACTTTCCTAATCATATTGGATTAAACTTTGTCAAAAAATATTTTAAAAATAATTAAAAAAAGCAAATTGGTAGTAAGGGAATTTTTAATTCCTAGTGGAAAATTACTAAATAGTAGTAAAAAATTATTAATTCCTTTAGTAAGAATACTAATTTTATCAGTAAACGTTGCTAACAATTTTGATTAAATCTTTGTCAAAAAAAAAATATTTAAAAAATAGTAAAAAAACAGACTGGTAGTAGGAAATTTTTTATTAGTAATATAAAATTACCATCTAGTAGTAAAAATTATTAATTCCTTTAGTAAGCTTACGAATTTAATCAGTAAACGTTGCTAATAATTTTGATTAAATCTTTTCCAAAATAGAGTAAAAATAGTAAAAAAAAAAAGTAAATAATACAAGAATTACTGATTAGTAGTAAGAAATTTTTTATCAGTAGTTGAAAATTACCAATTGATAGTAAGAAACTATACTGATACGTTAAGTAAAATTACTATTTCAATCAGTGAACTTTGCTAGAAATTTGTTACTTCTTTCTTTTACTTTGAATCTGAAACATTTACTAATTTTAAATTTTCTAATAGTAAATTTAATAATTAATTATTAATAATTATTTTTTATTACTACTTAGTAGTAAATTTTATTTAATAAATAGTAAATAGGAAACTTTACAAAAATTAATTCAAAAAATAGTTAAATAAAAAAAATATAAAAAATAAAAGAAAATAGAAAAGGTAAATACGCATATTTTAGTCATAATTGACTAATAATTAGTAAAATATCCGGTTACTAATTTAATTTAATGAATGAATCGTCCTGTTATGAATCAATTAATAATTTCTTTTTAGAGAGTAGAGAATAATAAAAACCAACTAATGAAATTTTAACGAGCATTGTGTTTCACTTTAGAGACGATAAACATTTTTTGCATTGCTTATTAGCTTATTTATCATTTTTTTACACTTTTTGTTTTTTGTTTAGCATACTTATTGAAATTACAAATTTGAAGACCCAGATTCGAAGGAAACGTGACTTCCGGTTTCGTTCAGAAATGACATTGAATTCGTTGAAGAACTCTCGTAAAAATAAATAGTATTGTTCATTTTTATTACACTCCTGTATAGATGAATTTATAACACAATTATTGAAATTGCATTCTTGTAATTTTTACTATTGCAAGAAAAAAAAGTTCAAGTATAAAAAACAGTGACCTTTAAATATTTTTTTGCTTTCACTTTATGTAATTTTCGCCTTAATTAAATTAATCAACTTTTATTTATTTTTTTACTAAATTTTTATTAACTACTTCAACTTAGTCTAAAAATAGTTTTCAAATAAATTTTTCAATTTTTACAAATGCAAATTTTGTCCTAATTAGTTAGTTATCTTTTATTAAATTAATTAATTAAAAACCTAAAAATTATTTTTAGTTAAATATTTCTTTCCAAATAAAAATTAGTAAATCGTAAAGATTCGATTGTCACTATGAACAATAACAAGAATAATAATAAATTTATTTTCTTCATTAAAAATAGAAATAAATGATAACAATAGTAATAACAATGCTAATAATTTTCATTTTTGCTCTTTTGGAGCAAATTAAATTTTTTTTAATTAAAAGCAGCTTTTCCTTTAATTTCTGTTCGCGACAGTGAAATGTAATGAGACGTATTTCAAGGGAAAATTAAAAATTGCTCTCTTCATTAACACCATTCGTGTGCTCACGAATTAAATGAACCGTTGTGAAAATGAGGAACACGAATGAAGTATCCAGGTTAGAATATCATCCAATTATCTGAAATACCGTTATTCACTTGAAAAAAAAGAATTATTTTACACAATCAAAATTTGCAATCAACCACGATTTCTTTTTATCGACTCTTCTCATTCTAATCTAAGAAAAAATAAAAAAAATAAAATAAAATCCTTTATTAAAGATCAATTTGTCTCGCTCTAAGAAATTTAAAAATTTTTTTGTTTCAAAAATTTATTGGGGCGAAAAAACTTGTTAATGATATTCAAGGAATGTTTGCATTTCGTTAAAGGTAATGCGAAACTCCCTCGCTTTTTTTTCTTTCTGTTATAAATATGGAAACTCGTTTTCTACTTGACGGAGAATTGAATTTAAATTTAGAATATATAAAGTTAAAGAAACTCTAGTAATATATGGAGTGGGAGGAGGATAATTTTTTTGCAATTCTGTTTTTATTCTTTTTTTTCTTTTTAATCGAATTAAGTCAAGACTATTCTTTTCCGAACATTGACTTGAATAAGAGGAGAAAAAAAAATGAACGGTATGTGTTCTTTAAGCCAGTTTATCAACTCGAGTATCTACTGAAATTATGCAAACCGCCTCTGCCCACCTTCTGTATATAATGAGAGTTCCTCAACCTCGGAAATATCTCAGATTGCGTACATTATGTGATTCACATAATTGATATTCGTTCCTTAAATCGAAAATCGGTAATACAAATATATTTCTGGCGTTGAGGAATTTTTCAATTATTTATAGCTGAAGAATTCCTTTTTTTAGAAGAGAAATTAATTCTTTTTATTTAATTCTTTTGTATTATGTATTGTTTTTCGTTTTTAATTAACTTGTGGTAATTAATCCATTTATTCAGTTATTTTCATTGTTAAATTTTTTTGAAGAAAGAATTTTTTGTTCTTTGAAATGTTTTCTATTGTATATTATTTTTAATTTTTAATTACCTTTGTGTAATTAATCTATCTATTCAATTATCTTTTCATTGTTAAATTTGGTTTTGTATTTTATTTATTATATATTATTTAATTTATTATTATTTTTTTTTTTGTTAGTTTTGTACTTATTTATTTGTTTACTTATTTACTTATTTATTTACTTACTTATTTACTTATTAACTCATTTACTTATTTATTTATTTACTTATTTTTTAATTTAAAAAAAATATTCGTATTGTTTATTAAATTTTTGAATATTTTTATTATTTTAACAAAAATTTTATTCCATGCAAAATTTGAAGAGAAAAAAATTAGAATTGTAAATGTAATAAAAATTTTACTATAGAAGAAAAAATGTTTCCTGAAGAATATAATTAAAAATTATAATTAGACATATTTAATGGAATTGGTGAATATGAAATGGAAATTAACTTTCCCTAATTACTTATTGATTTATTTACCCGTGTTTCACGCTGTTTGGCACCGGTGGCTTGAAGAGGTTGAACAATGATTTGGTGGAGGCAGACAATCTACAATTCATGGAAAATAGCAAAACAAAAAAACAAACCATGCGATAAAACAAAGGAAACAACACATGTCAATAATGCAATCAAAAAATTTTGTTCTCGTTGGAAAAATTTTCAAAAAAACCAAATGTATTGGATAATTTTTATTTTCTATACCTTAATAACTAAATTTATCAATTTTAATTTTTTTTTAAAAACAAAATTGATATAATAATAAATTTTAATTTTCTAATAACCAAATTTGCCAATTTTTACTTTTAGTTTTTTAAAAAACAAAATTGACAATTTTAATAATAATTTTTAATTTTTTCATATAACCAAATTTAAAAATTTTTAATTTTACTTTTTTAAAAAAATGGATACTTTTAATAATAAATTTTAATTTCAATTTTCTAATCAAACAAAATTGATAATTTTAATTTTAAATAATAACCAAAATTGATAAGTTCAATTATTTTTTCAATTTTAATTTTGTTTATAGCTAAAAATGATAATTTATCTTTTATTGTTTATAATAAGTAATAACCGAATAATATTTCTGAATATTCATTTAAAATTTAATTGAAATAACAAGCGAAAGCGACTAAATGAATAAAAGTAAAGACTCGTTTCTTTTGCAAATATTTACAAAATAATTTTGAAAAGAATCTTCGCCTCTTTTTATTATACTTTTAGAAATAAAATTTCACTCAATTCGTGGAACTTTATTATTATCATTGAAAATAACAAAAATGTTGTAAATTAATTGAAAATGAAATTAAACATTTCGAAAAAAAATAAGTCTATAGATACTAAAAACTGTAATAAAGAAATAAAAAAATAAATTAAAAACTAAAACAAATAAATAAAAATAGAAAAATTAAAAAAAAATTGTTCCTAATAAAATATTTATTGACTAATGACTAGGTACTTTATTTCGCGAATGCGATTAAAATAATTGTTTAAAAGTTTAAATTAACAATAATGGTTATGAAATAATAAAAACGGTAATAAAATATAAAAAAAGATAATTAATTAATTTATTTATAATGAAAATAATCCTAATTTCGTTCTTTTACGAAAATATATGCAATTTATTTTAATTAAATTCATAATTATTGTTTAAATTCAAAATAACAAATTAAAAATAATGGTTACTAAATTTTTCCAACGAAGACGTAAAGGGAAAGTGTCTAGGTACTTAAAATTAACAAAAAGCTATATTTATAACAAATCAACTTCAAAGTGCAAACATTATAAAACACAATAAAAACATGAAGAAAGCGGCAGATATAAATATTTAATTTAAAGAGTATATAACAATAATTGAGCAATAAAAGCAACAACGGGGGGAAATTTTTATATAAAAATAATATATATAACTCTTGGAATTGACTCGCGTTTCGTAATTTCGTAAACAAATTTCGTAATTACTTCGTCAGTGTATACAAAAATTTATCGGTTAAAAAGAAGAGAAACATTAAAAAATCGTTTATACATTTTTTTTCTTTCTTTTTGAGTATAATATTATTATAAGAAAAATATTTGAATTCTAATACATTTCCGATAATTTACTAAAGATAGATTGATATTGAAAAATAATTTAAATACTATCGATTTCAAAAAATTCTCTAACATTCACTGAATTTTATGAAATCGATAGTATTTAAATTTAAATCTTTATAAAAAACTCTTTCTGAAGTTGAATTAGTAAATACTTTAAATAATTTGAAACAATAGATAGTTGACTTTTTTCTTCGACGTACAAAAAATGAATTATATTTAAAGTCCTAAATTTAAAACAATTTTTACTATTTCTAGACTGCAACATAAAATGTTTGAAACATTTCTGTGCATTTCTGGTTCAAATAACCGATTTTTCGTTAATTACCAAATAAGTATTTATTTGAATCAAATAATTTTTATTGAAGTCAATTAAATTTTTTTTGAACCAATAATTTCAGTATTTGAAGAAAATACCATTTATTTGATTGAAATCAAATTATTTGATTCGAGTAAATATTTATTTTATACCTAATAGAAAAGTAATCGGGTATTTGAATTGAATAAATTTTTTTTAGTGCAAATAATATTAATAAATTGAAAAAATTATCTAATATTATTTATTAACAAATAGTATTACATTGACAAAACAATATATTTGAATCAAACATAATTATCTTTATTATACAGTCAAAAATTATATTTGAATTAAACAGAATATTATTGATTCAATAAATAATAAGTAAATAAATAAAAAGTAAATGAATAAAATTACGTTTAATTCAATTTATTATAAAATATGTTTAATTCAAACATATTTTTTTGGTTGGTAACATATTTTTTCAGGGTTGCCACAGGTCAGGGAAATCAGGGAAAAGTCAGGGATTTTTATTAAAAGTACTGGAAAAAATTAAATTTGTAGAATTCATAAAATAACTAATTTTTTTGTGTCTTTTTTCTTTTTTGTTTACTTCATAAACTATGAAACTTTCACGAATTCTAATACAAATCCTTCAAATTTTTTTTCTTATTCTGACCAGAATGAATTTTTTAATATTATTTAATTATTTCAAAAGTTTTAATGCAATTATCTTGATAAATAAAAAAATTGTTTACAAAAATTCAATTATTTTTAGGAATTTAAAAAAAATTCTTTTCAAAATTCGATTATTTTCATAAATAACAATATTCATCAGAAGAATTCAATTATTTTCAAAAGTAATAAAATTCTTCGAAGAAAATCAATTATTTTTTAAAATTTGAACGAATATCTCATCAAGAATTTAATTATCTTTATAAATAGCAAAATTTTTTGACAAAAATTCAATTATTTTTAATATTTACTATTTTCATAAAATTTATCAAATAATTTAATTTTAGAAAAACAATTTTGATACAATTTATCAATTATTTTCATAAATGATAAAATTTCATTTAGGAATTCAATTATTTTCATCGCAAAATTTTCAATATTTTTAATACAATTTTAAATATATCTTAAGATTTAAATAAATTCAAATTTAAGAAACATTCCATTATTCAATAAAATAATAAAATTCGTTACAATAATTTAATTATTTTCATAAATAACTTTTCATTCGTCACGGGAAATGAATTATTTTCAAAAATTTTTTAATAATTCCGCAAAAGAATTCAATTATCTTGATAAACAACAAAGTTATTTGTTTAATTATTTCGATAAATATCAAAATTCAACAGAAGAATTCAATTCTTTTAAAAACTAATAAAATACTGTCCGAAAATTAAATTATTTTCAAAATTTTTTAAAAATTCCCGTTAAGAATTAAATTACCTTTTTTTATAAATAGATTTAACGAAAATCTTCTTAAGAATTAAATTATTGTTAGAAATTTTAAGAATATTCTTAGCAAAATTTTAATTTTTTAAACGAAATTCAATCAAAATTCTTCGCATGAATACAATTATTTTCAAAAATTATTATTTAAATTCTTCTCAGGAATTCATTTATTTTAAAAAAATTTTAATAAAATTCTTCAAAAAGTCTTAAATTATTTTCAAAAATTGTTATAAAATTATTTAATTTGATAAATTTCAATAAAATTTTAATTAAATTCCTTAAAAGAAATTAATTATTTTCAAAAGTTGTTAATAAAATTCTTTGTAAAAATTAAATTTTAAGAAACATTGAATTATTGAATAAATTATTTATTTTCTAATAAAAATTGATTTAAAAGTGAATAATTTCAGATAAAATTTTAGATAATAATTAAATATTAAAAGCATTAGGGGGAAATATTTAGAAATAATTAAATTTTGAAAAGGTTTCGAATTCAAATCTTTGAAAATCAGAATTTTTTGTACTTTTAATTAATAATTCTGCGTAGAATTTACTTTATTTTATAATTAATTCACTGGGTTATTTTTAATTATTATAAAAACTCGGAGTGATCAACTTCTTCATGTTTTATAATAATATTCTTATAAGTTATTGAATTTGGAAAGATTTGAATTTGAAATTTTTAAAAATCTTAACTCCTACGGAAAAGTAACAATGATTAAATATTTATTTAAAAAAGAAGTTGTTGATGTTTTTGAATATTTTTACAATTAAAAAAATTCGTAAATAAATGTCATAGAAAATTGTTTTGAGTATCTAATAATTTTTAGATTGAATTAGAATATTATTTTCTGGTCAGGGAAAAATTTAAAGTTTTGTCTGGAAAACAAGGAAAAACGAAATTAAATTTTTGTGGCAAACCTGCTTTTGATTTAAAACAATTTTTCTCTCAGTGTAGTAAATTAAAAAAAATGTATCTAATTCAAAAGTAAAAGTCATTAATTGAAATTAAGAACACGGGTTCTAATTAAACTTCAGAGAGTGTTTACTTGTACAGCATTGAACATTTAACTTTCACATGTACAAATAACGTGGAATTTGTTTATAATGTGACAGATTACAAGTACCTATTTATATATGTATAGGTTAGATAAGCGGATATCTAATCTAAAATGGGCTTTTCTAGTAAAATAATTTTTGAATACCGCGAGGCGTGAACTGTTTCCTTTTTGCACTTAAAAGAGATCATTTCTCGGAGCTTTCTCTCTAAATAATTTAAAACAGATTGAGAGTGAACTCTCCCAATGTGAGAGGGGCAAAAAAGTGGATTTCGACTTACCTAGAACTGGCAAGTTGACTGTTATTTCCGGGACATTGAGGGGAGTGGGTAAAATCGCCCGTTGATGACCATCTCTTTGCTCTTCTTAAACTACTAGGCGGTGGTCCATTTGTTCTTGTTATTGGTGATCTGCTGAGGATTTTACATGATACTCGTTTCGATTTTTTATCATTGGCTCTTTTTTTCTTCTTTATTTTTCTTACTTTCTTACTTACTTTCCTTCTCTCTTTTTTCGTTCTTTTCTACTTTTTTTGTTCATTTGATTTTTTTCTTTATTTTATTATTTTTTATTATTATTTTATACTTTTTTCTTTATTCTCACTGGTTTTTTAAGATTCTCAAAAATTGAGACTATTATAGTATCAAAACGTTGCATCGAAAAATTTTGATACTCTTTTTGTCTCAATTTGATATCCTTAGAAAAACTATGTGAGCTCTCTAATTCTGAATGAGTTAAAATTTTAACTGCAATTCGAAGCAGTGGCTGACTTTTTGCTTTCAAATTAGTTTAAATTTACTAATTTATCAGTTGAAAATAAGATATTTTACTTTAAAAAAATTTAAAGTTAAAACAGTCGAAAGTTAATTTCAATTTATCTAATTTAAAAGTTATCTAATTTATACTTCAAAAATTTAAAATTCCAACTGATTAAGATTTAGAGATGAGAAAAAATTTCAGTCCCAGTAGCCAGAATTTGATTGGAACCGAATTTTTTTCTCACTGTGATTCTTTTTTTCCTTTACGATTACTTTAACCGCAATTTATTAAAATGAAACAATTTTATTTCGTATTTAAAAAAAACTTCGTCTTTAGCAAGATATCAAATGCGTATTACTTTTTTACTCATGCAAAGAAAGTATACAATAAATTGCAACAAACATTAAAAAAAAAATGCTAGTCTTTAAGGATGCGTTTTCTAGGCAGGCATTCAATCAACGACAAAAGAAGAAATTTTCTTTTTTCTTTTCGTATCATGCGAGAAGAGAAAAGGTTTTTTATTTTTCAAGTGTTAAATATTTACCTTGCTGCAGGAAGTGGCGTAGCCCTAGGACTGGGTGATGGCACCGGAGATACGCTACTACTGCTCGGACTGTCAGAGTGTAGAGAATTTGTTGATTGATAGTGGACGGATCTTCTAAAAAGAAAAAAATTCAAAACAATTGTATTCCCTGGTTTTTGGAATTTTATTCAACAAGAGTTCATTGACCCAGAAATTTAATTTTATTATAAAAAAATTAACAATTTTTAATATGAATCCAAACTTCTCGAAATCCATATCAAAAATAACTTAAAAATCAAGTCAAAGAGAAAAAATATCTTGTAAACTCCAAAAAATACGTTTTTCTGAGATTGTACCCCACTTTTTTCAAAAAACTGACATTCTAGACGATTTTGAGACCAGGGATCGTATTCAACGAACAAAAATACATTGGAAACGACTCCCATATCAAAATAGTTTAAACATCAAGTTAAAAAAAAAATTTTTTTTAAAACCCCCAAAAAAAAGTTTTTTGGACTTTTTTCACACTTTTTTCAAAATTTGAACGTTATTTGCGTTTTAGGAAACCGGGATCGTGCTCAGGAACATAAATCCATTAGAAACCACTCCCATATCAAAAATAACTTAAAAATCAAGTTATAGAAAAAAATATCTTGAAAACCCCGAAAAATTCGTTTTTTTGGGTCTTTACCCCCACTTTTCTCAAAATCCTAACGCGTTAAGCAATTTTTGTACCCGAAACCGTGTTCAGAATAAAAAAAGTACACTAGAAACCAATCCAATATCAAAAATAAAAAAGTCGAATATTGCAAATTTGTGTAATTATTTCTCTGGGGTGAAAAATTACATTTTTTTACCCCAATAACTGGAATTTTGTCTTTTCGACCTAAGATAAGAAAAAAAATAATATTTCTTACCTCTGAGGAAGTTGGGATGGTGAGGTATAATTTCCAGGTCGTCGAGGACTTGAATTTGCGTCTCTAACGTCGTGAGCAGATCCAGACGATGGTGAACTTCTCAAACCAAGTGAAGCCGTTTGTCGCAGTCTTATGTCCTTCAAAGGAACTGAATTTTGGTTACCTTTCAAAGAGAAAATTACATAAATTTAATATTACTTTTATTTCGTATGGGGGAAAAATCGATTTTTATATGCGTGCGTCTAAATAAATTGATTTTTATGAGTACACTATCGGCGGTAATTGTGCGACCCCTACTTTTTTGATGACTATTCAATATCTTTTAACTTTGAAAATATAATATAACTAAAAAGTTTTCTTTTTTATTTTCAATAAAGGTATAAAATTTTGAAAAAAATTACACCTTAATAACAAAAAATATTAATTTTTGAAAGATATTTAAAAAAACCCCCCATTTTCAATGATTCGACTAATTTTTTTATATCTTCCAAAGAAATTAACGTTTTTCAACGTTCATACACTGAAAAAAAATTTTATTTGATTCAAATAATCGATTAATTGATTATAATGAATTAAATAGTTAATTGAATCAAATAATATTTATTGGAGTCAATTAAATGGTTCAATTAATATTTGCTTCAAATACTGAAATTATTGGTTCAAATACCATTTAATTGACATCAATAAATTTTATTTGATTCAAGTAAATATTTAATTGATAGTCAATTAATCGGTTATTTGAATCAAATACATTTTTTTCAGTGTAGGCTCATTATAATCGTATTATTTTTGTAGAATTGAGATTTCTTACAAGATTTTATTAACATACATTTCTTTAGAAAATGCAAGAGCCGAAAGTTGAAAGAAAAAATTATGAAAATTTTAAAGGTACTTTTACAACTGAAAAATAATTTTTAAAAATCAAATATATACTTAATTCAAAACTTTATTCAAAGTTTAAACATTTTTTTTGTAAATAACAGATTTTACTAATTACCTTTTTAGCATCTTAACAGTAATTATAATTTTTCCAATTTTTTTTTACGCAAATCACTTGCATTTTCTAAAAAAAAATGTATGTAGAGAAAATCTTGTAAAAAATCTCAATTCTACAAAAATATACGATTAAAATGACCTATGAACGTTGAAAAAAAGGTTATTTCTTAGAAAGATACGTTTATTGAAAATAAAGAGGAAAAATTTTTATTTATTATATTTTCCAAGTTTTTAAAGGTTTATTGATGTTTTCCAAGTTAAAAGAAATTGAATAGTCATCAAAAAAAAGTAGGGGTCGCACAATTACCACCGGTAGTGTATGTATATATAGTTAACCCTGACCTAAAAACTACAAAAACTTTTTGTGTCTATACATATGTGTTTATAGTTAATACCCGAAAATCGTGTTTCATATTTGTAATGTCAGAATCAGTGTAATAAACAGATGTGCGAATCCAATTGTCTGAGAAATTGAATTTGCTCTTGTTTTGCACTAGCATGGTTTTAAAACTTCATCGCGTGCGCAAATTTCCAACCCCTTCAGCCAAGTTTCACGAGCACAAATGGATTTAACCTCGTGAGGTTTCCATTCGCAAGTCGTCAGGTACATTCCAAGTTTCATTCAAGGTAATTCGAACCTTCTAACATGCTTTCATTTCGAAAAGTTTTTTTTTTCATTTTTTGTTTTCTTTTAATGGATAATATTAAACTGATGTTGGATAATGATATTAAGTTTGATGATGAAGCGAAATATTATTTTCGTGTGGAGAAATAAATTAGGGTAGGGGAATTTCTATTTATGCTTCTCTTTTAGGGAATGAGTTGATATTTTTTATTATTCTTATTTTTCAATATTTGCTTGATCGAATTTAGAGAGTAAAACTGTCTTTTCTGACCCTAGTGAGAAAAATAATTTTCTAAACCTCTAGCAAGTAAAAAAATCACCATTTTTGACCCTAGTGAGTAAAATTACCACTTTTGGCCTAAGTAAAATAACTTTTTTGCTTCTCTAGTGAGTAAAATTATTTTTTACTATTCTACATAAGTAAATTACCATTTTTAACCCTTGTGAATAAGATTATCATTTTTCCCTAGTAAAATAATTTTCTAATACTCTAGGAAATAAATAAATCACTATTTTAGACTCTAGTGAGTGAAATTACCATTTTTTGCCTTAGTAACTTTCTGCTTCTAGTGAGTAAAATATCTTTTCTAACCCGAGTGCGTGAAATAACCTTCTAAAACTCTAGGAAATAAATAAATTTTAATTTTTGACACTAGTGAGTAAAATTATTTTAAAAAACTCTATCAAATAAATAAATTACCATTTTTGACCCTGGTGAGTAAAATTACCATTTACGGTCTGAGTAAAATAATTAATAGTAGTAATTTACCATTTTGAACCCTAGTGAGTAACATTACAACTTTTGGGTTCAGCAAAATAACTTTCTTATACTTTAGGAAAAAATAAATCACCATTACTGTCCCTAGTGAGTAAAATTACCATTTTTGGCCTTATAAAATATTTTTTCTGACCCTAGTTAGTAAAATAAGTTTCTAAAATTGTAGTAAATAAATTTATCACCATTTTTGACTCTAGTGAGTAAAATTACCATTTTTGGCCTTATAAAATATTTTTTCTGACCCTAGTGAATAAAATAACTTTCTAAAATTGTAGTAAATAAATCTATCACCATTTTTGACTCTAGTGAGTAAAATTACCATTTTTTGCCCTAGTAAAATAACTTTTTAACACTGCAGGAAATAAATAAATCACTATTAGTGACTCTAGTGAATAAAATTATCACTTTTAGCCTCTGTAAAATACCATTTCCGACCCTAGTTAATAAAATAACTGTCTAAAACTTTAGAAAATAAATAAATTACTATTTTTGACTCTAGTGTTTTTGGATTTAGTAAAATAATTTTCTACTACTATAAATAATAAGTAAATTACCATTATTGACCCTAGTGAGTAAAATTGCAAATTTTAACTCTAGTGTGTAATGTAACTTTTTTTCCCTAGTGAGTAAAATTACCATTTTTAGTCCTAGTGGGTAAAAAAAATTTTTAGTACTCTAGGAAGTAAAATTACCGTTTTCGCCCCCTAGTGAGTAATGTTATTTTCTACTAACCCAGTGAATAAAATTGTCGATTTTGCCCTAGCGAGTAAAATAAAATAACTTCTTACTAACTCTAGGGAGTAAAATTATCATTTTTAATCCTTGGTGGCAAAAAATAAACTTTCTCTCTAGTGAGTAAATTTTCCATTTTTTGCACTAGTGAGTAAAATAACTTTTCTCCACTCCAGGAATTAAAATGACCCTTTTCAACCCTAGTGAGTAATGTAACTTTTCAATACTTCAATGAGTAAATTCACCATTGTTAGTCCTAGTGAATAAAATAACTTATTAGTGAGTAAAATTAAATTTTAAATTGAAAATAAATTTTTTAATCTTAAACTGAAAATAGATTTTTTAAATTTTAATTTAAAGATAAAATTTCTTAAAAATAAAATTTCTTTCATAACGAAGAAAATTTTTTGTAATAAATATAATAAAAAGTATCTTCTTACCTTAGGGGAGAAAATAATTTATTTTTTACCCCAGTGATTAAAATTTAGAAAAAGAAATAGAAAAAAGTTGGAATAATTTTACAGAAAAGAAAATTTATTCATTAAAAATGTTTTTACTATACTTTGAAAATTAATTTCTATATATATGTATGCAAAGACCGTGAAAAATTTCCCTACGCAATAAATAAATCAAAGAGCGTGTGAATCATTTCCTTTTAAGACACCCTTTATGTGACTTTTCGCGATAGCGAATGTGGAGAATGTCAACTGACATAAATCGTGACCAAGTTTTAGAGGCGTTGTTCTACATGTATTTGATACATGACCTGAAAATTGAATATTTTACATTCCCTTTTCTTTATATCAAAATACGAAAAACCGGTATTCTCATCAAAAATTTTTTTTTCCTTTAGAGAAAAAATTCTACCTCATTATAAAAAATTATTAATTTTTTTTCCTGTATAATTAATTTAAGTCCACTATAACGAGTGACATTTGAATTTTTTTTCTTTCCTCCTGGCCTTTTACTTTTTTTCAGCTAAAAAAAAATTTTTTTTAACCCAAAGAAATCTCTGTAACCTTTTCAGAAGGTCTCATTTAATTATTGACATAAAAATTGATAAAAAATGGATATAACTTTTATTTGGTGGATTTTTTTTTGAAGGCAAAAATTTTAATTGAAATCTAAAAATAAAATCTTGGAGAAGTGTTTGTAAACTGTTTTGTAGGTGATGTGTAGCGAATAACTTATATTCTTTTTGCACATATGCATCTCTTGTATAGTTATGAGATAAACATAGGAATTATTTTTGGCGACTCGATAATAAGATGCACTTTGGACGACACACATAAAACAAGGATAAAAATTTTTGTTATTTTTTTTTATGTTTTGTAAACGTGAATGACGTTGACACGCATGCTTGTTGGAAAAGAGTTGACTTAGCTTCATTAGCATCGAAAATGTAAACAAATTTTTCTTTCCTTTTATTTATTCACGTCAATCGGGGGTCTTTTTTTTCCAAAAGGGTTAAAAAAAATTGGCGGACAATTATTTACATTTGAAAATTTAATTTTACTTTAATTTAAAAATTGTTTTAAATTAAGTCAAACTTGTGATATGCAATAAATATTATTAATTAATTAATTAATTAATTAATTAATTAATTAGCTGAATATTAAGAAATAAACAAATGTAAAAAATAAAAAAAGTAATAATAGAAGAAAATAAAAATAGTAAATAGTAAATATAAAAATATGAAATAGTAAATAAAGAACTAATAGAAAATAACAAACTAATAAATAACTTTTATAATAATTTAAAAGTAAATGACTGCATTTTTCATACAATGTAAAATGGAAATGCAGTAAAATGAAAATAGACTAAATGAGTAAAAGTTTTTGAGCAAAGAATATAAAAGATAAAAACTAATTTACAAAAGAAACTATGGCGGAAAACCTTCAACTTCTTTTTATTATGACCGCGAGAATAACAAAAGGATAATAAGTCATCTAAATACCTATTTCGCTTATTCATACAAATCATTTTTGCAAGAAGAGAAATAAAAAAAACACAACAGTTTCTTTCTTGTTTAAAAGTAATTTAAAATCTTGGACTAAAATCCTGTCATTTTGAAAATTGTGTGGGTGGATATTATGTATTATATTTTCTTATAATATATGACATTATAAAACCCTACAATTTATCTGTAAAATACGTTTTGTCTCATGTCCCGAAGGCGTGTGACATTTAGCAATTTTTTTATTTTTTGTTCTCAGGAAAATGAGAACGTATTTTTTTCATGCACTTTAATTAAATATTTTTTGTAAGTAGTTTTTTTTTTTTGGTGGAGTTTTTAAGTTGCCAATTTTAAACTTTGTTAATAGCTACAACTTTTTTTTTACTCCAACTTTTATGCAACTTTTTTTTCAAAGTTTAAAAAATATAATATGAAAAGTTTTCCTTTTTAGCACCACTTCCTCTGTATTATAAAAATGGGCTGGAAATAGTTTTATATGAAATTTGGTAATTACTTTTTTCTACTTTGCTAAGAGGTAATAGAAAATTTAAACCGTCATTTTTTTAAAGTTTAAATTTATGTTTGTTTTTTAGAAAATAAAATTTTTTTTGTACTATTTTTGAAATTTGTTGGAAAGTAATAAAATGAATGCATTTCGACAAGTGGTTTTTAATAAAATTTTGCTTTAATTTGGTCTAAAAAAATCTGTCTCCAATTTTTTCTGCTCAAAATCTAAATAATTTTTATAATTAGGTATAGATGTAACGAAATAATTTACGAAGTTTATCCAAAAATATTTTAATGAAGAACAAGAATTTAGCAATAGAATTTATAGAAAAAAAATAGTAAATTAAAAACAATGAATTTAGAATAAAAATATCAAAAAATACAAATTACAAAAAATTGAAACAAAAAAAAAATGATGAAAATAAAGTTAAATTGTTTTTAAATTGGTTTTTAACAAAAATTTGCTCTAATGTTTTTAAATAAAAACATTAAAAAACCACAAATTACTATAAATTAAGAACATAAAATATTTCATTAAAAACTTCAAACAAATCGAATTTTTAAAGTATTTTAATTTAATAATATTGAATTTTATAAAGAGTCACATTCTAATGTATTCATGTTTCTTTTTGCGAAGATTAATAATTAAAATATTTATTAGTTAATTTAAAAGAAGATGCACACTTAAAATTTTTTAATAAAATTGAATTTTTGCAAAGTTTTAATGAAAATTCTGAAAAATAAGATTTTTTCAATTATTTCTAGAAACTGTAAAAAAATTCTTCTCAAAAATTCAATTATTTCCATAAATAGCAAAATTCTTCAGATTTACTAAATTCTTTTGAATATTATTTTTAAAAACTATTCTTCACAAGAATTCAATTATATTCATAAATTTCCATAAAATTCTAAAAAATAATTCAATTATTTTCAACACAATTTTAATAAAATTTCTCGAAAGGATACAATTATCTTAAAAAATATTCAAATTCAATTATTTTCAAGAATTTTAATATAAATTCAATTATTTTCGACAATTTTGATGAAATTCTTTTTAAAAAATAGGTAATTATTTTCAAATTTTCCATATAAAATTCTTCGAAAGAATTCAATTATTTTTATGAATTGTAAAATCCTTCGCAAAAATTCAATTATTTTCATAAATAAGAAAATTCTTCGCAAGATTAAAATATTTTCATAAATAAGAAAATTTTCCAATAGAATTCAGTTATTTTTATTACAATTTTAATAAAATTTCTTGAAAGAATACAATTGTTTCAAAAAGTATTATTTAAATACAATTATTTTCAAGAGTTTTAATAAAAATTCAATTATTTTCAACAATTCTGATAAAATTCTTCAAAACAATTCAATTAGTTTTATAAATTGTCAAATTCTTGTCAAGAATTCAATTATTTAATTATTCTTGTGAATTTTTTTGTCAAATTGAAATTATGCAGATTTTTGTTCTCTACTTCTAAACAAAATTAGAAAATTGTTATAAAAAACTGTGATAAAGAAATAGAAAATTTATTTATTTTGCATTATTTTTGTTTATGAATCATAATTTTTTTAACAAAATTATTTATTTTGTTTTAGAAAAAGAAGAAAAATATTTGCACAATTTCTATTTTTAATCTTATTTTTGGAACAGGATTTTTCACAGGAATTAAAACATTCAAAAATTTCAAATTCAAAACTTTTTTAAATTACACAACTTATAAAAGTATTTTTTTAAAACATGAAGATATCGATTGCTCCGAGTCGAAGACTCGGAGTGATCGATTTCTTCATGTTTTCTAATAAATTAAAGATGACCGAGAAATAAAATCATTATTTTATATTATAAGAAAAAGAATATTGTTAATGTAACTTCATCAAAATTATTTTCATCATTTTAATTTAATTATTATTTTATAGAATTTAAATTCTTTTTTATGAAAATAATTCAATTCCTTAAAAAATTTTATTCTTTATAAAAATAATTGAATTCCTGTGAAATTTTTATTATTTATGAAAATAATTAAATGTTTGCATACAATTTTATTAAAATTTTTTTTAAATAATTGAATTCTTTTTGGGAAATTTTATTAAAATAGTAGATATTGAAAATAATTGAAATTAGAAAAATTTTTGAGAAAATAATTGAAATTAGAAAAATTTTTGAGAAAATAATTGAAATTAGGACAAGAATTTTTTTGACTTTTATGAAAATAATTAAACTTTGGAGAAGAATTTTGTTATTTTTAAAGATAATTGGTATTTTTACGAGATTTTTTTTTAAATTTTGAACATAGTTGAAATTTTTTTTGAAAATAATTGAATTTCTCCAATTATTTGTAATTTTTCCAAAATTTAATTTTTTTAGTGTTTTCAACAAAAATTTAAATTAGAAAATTTTTAAATTCTATTATTTTTAAAATTGCTAATTTTAGTTTTAAAAGGCAGTAAGAAGTTAGCCGCGCTAGTTTAATTTAATTATTTTTCAAAATTTTAATTAAAATTATTAAAAAAAACATTATTTTCAAAAAATTTAAAGAAACTTGTCAAAAGAATTTAATTATTCATAAAAACTGGAATAAAAAATTTAGAAGTCATTTGTAGATTTATTTATGTTCGAAATCAAATAAATTTAAATTTGATGAGAAAAAAAACCGGGAAAAAACCGAAAATTTGAAAAAAAAATTAAAAATTTCGATTTTATAGCGTAAAAAGTATAAAAGTATTTTTTTTACCCCATTTTACACGAATGACAAAAATAGAAAAATAATTTTTTTTTTTAGTAAATATTGTCTATTTTAGAGTAAGTTTCTTTAACATAAATTTCGATTTTATTTTGCATTCAGGTGGATGAAAATAAAGAATTTTCTTTCTTTGAGTGTATTGTGAAGAGTTTAGAGCTCGAAGTTTAGTAAAAATATTGAATAGACAGATTGTTAGTGGGTAGAGATATGGTTGATAATAATAATTGTTGTAGTGTATGCACGTCTCATTTTTGCACACAATGAATTTAATTTCACTCACTTCTAAATGGAACGTGTCCGTTCCTCAAGGGCGAAGAGAGACCTCTCTCGTTTCTCCTTTCATTTCTGTCATCCTCCCGCTTCTCACGACCCTCCAATTGAGCGATTCGCCTGAGAGCATCCGCCAAAGTCGCTCGAAGACAGACAATCTCGTCTCTTTGAGCCAAAGACTGCTTCTCCAAGTCGGCGACACGACCCAAAAGCGATCCCGCTTCACACTCCAACATCTCGTCTGTAAAAAGCATTTTTCCTTTTAAGTAATTTCAAATTTTTCATTGTCAAAAATATACCGATTTTTTTTTTTTTTCTTTTGAGACAATATCACAAAATAATGTTATTTATGTGTATTAATAAATTTTAATTCACACTCCAACATCTCATCTGTAAGAAGAATTTTTTTTAAGTAATTTCAAATTTTTCATTTTCAAAAATATACCGAAGTTTTTTTTTTTTTGAGAAAATTTTTACAAAATAATGTTATTTATATGTATTAGAAAATTTTAATTCACACTCCCACATTTCATCTGTAAAAAGCATTTTTCTTTTCAAGTAATTTCAAATTTTTCATTTTCAAAAATATACAGAATTTTTTTTTTTTTGAGACAATTTCTATTAATATAATAAATTTTATAAATTTATTTTTATTCATATAAATAAAATGTTATTTATATTAATAAATATATTGTTTATAATTTTATATTGATAAAAAAAGGCGCTTAAATCACAAAGGTTATTTGCTGAATCGTTTATTTAATCTTTTATAATATCCGAAGTGAGTTTCAATAAAAATTAGAAAATTTACTTCGAATTTGGTAAAATTTCGTTCAAAAATAGTAAAATTTACTATTAAAAATTATTATTGTCAGAATAAACTTTTGCTATTTTCGAAAAAAATTTCTTTATAAAAATTAGAAAAATTATAAAAGCACAGAAAATAGTAAATTTTGCTAATTAAAATCGTTATTTGCAGAGTAAATTTTATAATCTCCGTTAAATGTTTCATAAAATTATTTTTATAGTAATTTTTTGAGAGGAATTTAACAGTCAGAAAATAAAATCGATGATACAAAATTTTGCCCCTTTTTGAAATTTAATTTTTCTTAAAAATTGATTGGTTTTTTAATTCCATTTGTAATTTTGTAGAAAATGTGTTTTTGTATAAACGAAAAAATGTACAAATAAAAAAATTTATTTTTACTATTTTTGAAGCATTTTTTTGAAAAAAAAATTGTTTTAGGTTGAAAATGATGAAAAATATCATTGTTATTCGATTTTTTTATATGGAATTTCATTTGTTTATTTATCTATTATCTAACTAATTTCAAATCATAATTTTATAAGTTTTTTATATTTTTTATTTTTAAAAATGTTTTGTAATTCGCTAGAAAAATAAGCAAATGAATTTCCATATATAAAAGAAATTGAATAAACAGTGGTATTTTCTTAGTATTTTTAACCTAGAAACAATTTTTGTTTTTCAAAAAAATGATTGAAAAATAGTAAAAATCAATTTTTTCATTTGGCAATTTTTTTAGGGACACAAAAAAATTTTTTTTTTACAAAATTACGGATGGATTTTGAAATCTATTAATTTTTAAGAAAAATAAAAATTCAAGAAGCGTAAAAATATTTCCTGACCGTTTTTATATTATGACCATTGAATTCCTCTGAAAAAATTGAGAAATAAAAATTCAAAAAAGGTTTAAAATATTTTCTGACCTATTTTATATTCTGACCATTAAATACCTATAAAAAATTGAGAAATAAAAACTCAAAAGGTTTAAAATATTTTCTGAACTACTTTATATTCTGACTATTAAATACCTCCCGAAAAATTCAAAAAGAGTCAAAATATTTTGTGACCGATTTCCTATTGTGATTATTGAATATTATCCTTAAAAAATTACTATAAAAATAATTTTATGGAAGATTTAAATCATTTTCTTGATCTAGTTTAAAATTGTAGCCGAACTCATCGCAATGAATTTTATTTAACGGAATTTTTGTGTAACAATTTTTTATCTTATTGATTTTATCGAACAGAATTTCTATAAGTAACAGAATTTTTTTTTATAACAGCAATTTTTTCTGTAGCAAATTTCCCTTTCACTGAACTTTCATTATCAGGAAAGAAATTTTCTATATTTAATTCTCATTTTTTTTTTTTTAAAGGAAATTTTATTTTAAACGAATTTTTATTTAGCGTAATTTCAAACATTTATGATTTTTGATTCTCCTTTTTTTCCAATTATCTTTCCATTCTACATATATATTAAACGTTTTCCTTTAATTAATTCTCCAATAATTGAATTTTCCAATCATTTTCACCTGCTGACTTATTGTACAAAGGCAGAAAGAGACAGTGAGAGACAGAGAGGAAAGAAACAAAAAAAAGAACAACTTGTTTTGGCAAGTGAATCAATTTCAAACTATGATCACTGGACCGCTATCACTTTTGATCAAAAGTAAACACACTCGCACACAATGTTACGGTCTGTAGATTTTAGAATATCATCCCCTTTTATGGCAGACTGCACTTTTGATCGATTCTCTGACTATTCTCTCGTGACAACTCCTCAATTAACGGCAATTATAACGTTTCAATTTTAAAGGGGCCATGTCAAAGTTAACGAAACATATTTTTATTTCCAATATAAAAAAAATGAAGAGAAGAGAAGAGACGAGAAAAAAAAAACTCACGAGTCATTCGTATGAAAAATGTCTTTTAAAGACATTTATAAAGAGAGAAAAATTTTTTTCCATATATCTCCTGACAATATTGTGATCTTATCAAAAGAATCAGAAATATATTTGCAAGTAATCTACATGATCATAATTCTTGTCTTATCTTTGAAGAAACGCCCGCGGAGATAATAATAAATTTGATTTAAAGTTTTTCGAAACTATTTTTATTTTTGGGAAGAGAAATTTTCCTTTGTCTTTTTCTTGGGTTGAATGGGGAACCTAAAAAAGATGTCATTTTTTTATTTTTAACATTTTTTTTGTACTTTTTAGTTAATTTATTTTTAATCACAATATTTTTGTTTTGGAAAGAAAAATTTTTCTTTTCTCTTTTTTAGGGTTCTTTTTCAGTTGAAGCCTAAAATATCATTTTTTAATTTTTGAATATTTTTGAATACTTTTTACTATTTAATTTATTTTTCAAACTGTTTTTATTTTAAAAAGAAAAATTTTGCTTTTGTATTTTTTAAATTGATATATTTTCATTTTTAGGTTTTTTTGGGTTGAAGTGGAACCTAAAAAACTATCATTTTTTTATTTTTTGAATACTTTTGAATACTTTTTACTATTTAATTTATTTTTCAAACTATTTTTATTTTAAAAAAAAAAAATTTTCTTACTATGAATTTATTTCCAAAAATATTTTTATTTTGAAAGTGGGTTGAAATGGTTGAAGTGAATTTTTTTTAGAACTTTCTACTATTTAATTTATTTTTAAAACCTATTTTTATTTTAGAAAGAAAAATTTTTCTTTTGTATTTTTTAGGGGTTTTTTTGGGTTAAAGTGGAGCCTAAAAAGTGTCATTTTTTAATTTTTGAATATTTTTGAATATTTAATTTATTTTTCAAACTATTTTTATTTTGAAAAGAAAACTTTTTCTTTTGTATTTTTAAAATTTATGTATTTTCATTTTTAGGTTTTTTTTGGGTTGAAGTGGAGCCTAAAAAGTGTCATTTTTTAATTTTTGAATATTTTTGAATACTTTTTACTATTTAATTTATTTTTCAAACCTTTTTCATTTTAAAAAGAAAAATTTTTCTTTTGTATTTTTTAAATTGATATATTTTCATTTTTAGGTTTTTTTGGGTTGAAGTGGAACTGTCATTTTTTTTATTTTTTGAATATTTTTTTAATACTTTTTACTATTAATTTAATTTTAAAAATATTTTTATTTTGAAAAAAATATTTTCTTTTATATTTATGTATTTTTATTTTTATGTTTTTTTGGGTTGAAGTGGGACCTAAAAAACAAGACTTTTTTAAATTTTTTAAAATACTTTTTACTGTTTAATTAATTTTCAAAACTGTTTTTATTTTGGAAAGAAAAATAGAAATAGTCTAAAGCAGCAGCCTGCTCTTTTTTATTGTTTGAATATTTTTGAATGCTTTTTATTATTAGTTTACAATTTATTTTTTTAGGTTTTTTTTTACAAATATTCTTTAGTTTTTTAATAAGAATATATTTTTTAATTTGTTTAATAAAAATTCATTTTTTTATTTTAAAAAAATTTGTATTTGATTTCCAAAAAAATGATTTTTTTATTTAAAAACAATTTGTGTTTGATTTAAAAAAAAAGGTTTTTGAAATTAAATTTTTCTTTGGGGGATTTTTTGGATTTAATTTAAAAGAAAAATTTTTGAAAATTAATTTCTTTTGGGGGGATTGTTTGGAGTAGATTTAATTAAAGAGTTGATTTAATTTAAAGGGAATTTTTTTTGGAAATTATTTTTATTTATTTATTTTTTTTATTTTTTGGAGTAGATTTTACTTACGCCAAGCATTCTCAGCCTCGTCGATTGTGTTCATCATGTCTGGCGTAGACATCGCGATTAACCCCAAACGATGACCCCCTCGGACGTATTAATGCGTTATTCAATTGAACTGATTAACGGAACTTAAACAGAGCCAATGTACTTTCAGTCATCGTGTATATTTCATATATTTTTCATTTCCGTTATAATCACCGCACAGCACTTCGAAGTATGTAATCGCACATTTTCGTAAAATACCTTCACACAAAAATAATAATGCCAATAAACAAATCGTGGTCAACGGTAAAATTTATATTAATCGAAAATGATAAATTTATAAACTTTTCTGAATGTGAGAGCCATTAAATGAAAAATCAATCTTTAAATTTTTAAACTGCAACTAGTAAATAATTTCAATATTTAAATAAATGAATTTTAAATTTATAATGAAAATATTAATTTCTACTTATTAATAAATTAATTCGTTTTTGAAAAAAAAATTGATTGGATTCAAAATTTTAATTCATGCAAATTGATTGAAACTGTTTTAAGTTTTAATTGAAATATGTTTAAAATTTTTTTTTTCCAATTCTAAATATTACAGAACGGGATTTTTAATTAAATACAAAAAATATTGGGAGAAAATTTTCAAATTGAATTAGAAAAAATTCCAAAACAAAAGTTTCAAATTGAATAAAAAAATTATCAGCCAAAATTTTTAGTTGAATAAAAAATTAAAAAACAATTATAGAACAAAGTTTTCATTAGACAAAATTTAGATCACAGTTTTTAATTAAATATACAAATTTGCAAAGCGAAGATTTTAATTAAATACCGAAAAAATTACAGAAAATATTTTCAAATTGAATTAAAAAACAATTATAAAACAATTTTCAAATTAAATTGAAAAAGTAGAAAATTACAAGAACATTTTTAAATTAAATTTTTTTTTTTTAATTTCAATTAATACGCGCAGTTTATTAAATATTGGAAAATTAATAAAAAAAGAGATCGTCTGGTGTGCAAACACTTAAAAATTGAAATTCACACTGAACAAAATACATGAAAAATAATCAGATACGAGAGGCACTTTTAAATAAATAATCACGTGACTAATTAAAACGTGCTTTTTAATCGTATCAGAATATAAAAGCGACAATTGTATCATCGTCACAAATTTATTTTTTATATAGGTATATTCTGTACTGTCTTTTAGACAACAGTCGTTGAAAATAAACCGAAAATAAACTATACACTTTCAAACGTATTTATAATGCGCCGGAAATATTTTTTGTCAAGTAACCAAAAAAAAAGTGGGGGAAAAATATTTTTTTCATTTCAAGTCGTATAGTATTTAGACGTTAATTGATTTAAAAAAAAATATTCCCAGAAGAATATTTTTTAATATATTCTTTATTTTTCTTCAAAAAAGAGATATTTTTTGTCATAATTGAAAATATATTCAGAATTTTAATTATATTTTTAAGTATAATTAAAAATAATTTCAACTATATTGTTAATTTTAAATTAGAGAAATATATTATTTATAATATTTACATTTATTTATTTTTTAATAATTTGAATTATATAATTGAAAATATTTTCATTGTTTACACTATTTCTACTAATTATTATTCTTTATTAATAATAATTTCACTGTTAATGCTACTTTCACTAATCATTATTTTCTATTACCATTTTCTCTATAATTATTAGTTGGTAATTAAAAAAATTTTTGTTAATTATAAAATTTATATTCAAAAACCAATTTTTTTTGTGAATCGAGAAAAATTAATTTCTTAATTTACATTCTACTTTTGACAAAATAGAAAGATATGTTAAATTTAAAAAAAATCGTTTTTGTTATTATTGAGAAAATCAAAAAAAAAAAAAAAATGATTAGATGAAAAGTTTTCTCGTGTATAAGTGTGTTGAAATTGTATAATCAAATGAGCACACTGTGTCAATCTTTCTGAGCTGATTATATTGCACTGAAAGCAGATCTGAATAATGGCATGCTAAGGTACACATATGTCACATATGCCGGACGCGTGGCCTGTGTGTTGATGCCGGTCAATTATGTAATGTGTGTACACTCAACTCACATGATATTACAGAATTTACTTTACTATTTTTACGGAAAAACTCACTTTCTACATATGCCACGTACAAATAATGATAGTTTTCTATATCAATTTCTTCTCAATTTTTAATTAATAAAATTCATTTCAAAATAGTAATTATCAAATTAAAATAAATTAAATTAGATCGATTTAAATTGTACAAATATTAGTTAGAATTATTTCTATTTTTAAATGTTTTTTTTATTTATTAATAATAATTGGAATTATAAATCATTTCAGAATTTTCCCAAAATTATGACAAAAAAATTAAAATTGTTGGAAAAAATGAACTATTGTTTAAAAAAAATACATTATTATTACTTTTTAAAACAGTTTTAAACAACATGACTTGATTTTACTCCAAAAGCATTTTTTTAAATTATACAAAAAATACTAATTATATTATTATTAGGTATTATTAAATTTAAATTGAAACTTTATTTTAAAAAATAAATTATTACTAAAAAAATAATTGCTGGACGAAAATTATTAGTTTAGCAAACGGTTTAATTATTATAACAATTGTCAATAATAATTAGTGCAAATAGTACTGACAATGCAAAATAATAATTAGTGGAAATTTTTTTAAAAATAAAATGTAATATGTAATTAGTAATTACTAATTAGTGACAAAAGTAGCAATAAACAAATAATAATTAGAGAAATTATTATTAACCATAAAAAATAGTAAGTAGGAAAAATACTATTAATAAAAAGTAATAATTATGGAAAATAACATTAATGATTATAAAGTAATAGTGAAGATAATATTTACAACAAAAAATTAATAATTAAGGAAAAAAATATTAATAAAAAATAATAGTTAGTAAAAAATAACACTGAAAATTGTAATAACAATAAAAGATAGTAAATAGTGAAGATGATATTAACAACAAATAACTAATAATTAGGAAAATAGTATTAATAAAAATCGATTAAAAAATAATAGTTAGTAAAAAAAAATAGTGCAAGTACTATCAACAATAAAGAATAATTATGGGATAAAATAATAAAAAGAATAACAAATAATAATTAATGAAAATAAAAATACAAAGGAAAATTGTTTTCATTAAAAATAATATGTAGGGAAAATTGATATTAATAATAAATTTAGTAAAAATAGTAAAAGCGACAAAAAGTGATAATTAGTGTAAATAAAAAAAAACAAAAAATAATTATTAGTGACAATATTGGAACGGGAAAAATAATTAGTAAAAATACCATTAACAATACAAATATCTAATTGGTAAAATACTATTAAACTATAAAAAAATAATATTAATTAGTCAAAATAAAATTGGAAAATAAAATTGAAAATTAAAATTGGAAATTAAAATTAAAAATTAAAATTGAAAATTGGTAAACTACTTCTATTAAACAATAGAAAATAATAATCAGTGAAAATATTAATTTTTCTAATTGAAAATTATTATTGTTAATAATACTCTCAGTGAAAATGCTAATTGTTGCATTAAAATTGCTAAGTACTAGTAAAACTACAAGTCTCTATAGTATAAAAACAATAAAAACTGATTTTACACCATAATAATATTTATGCAAAAAAAATTTCCTTGAATTTATTGTAATACCATTTTCTCTATTAAAACTTAATAACTGCATTAAAAATTGTTTCCTAAAAGAATTCAAAAAAAAAAAAAAATTCCAAATATCAACCTCCTTTACATAATTTTTAATTCCAATTCGTTCACGTAATCTCAATACACGTTATTTAACAAAAATTTATGCTTTTTAGAGAAAAATTCTTCTTTGAATCAAATAGTTTCGTCTCTCTCATTCAGATGGCACCATAATCGATGGCGCAATATTCATAAAGTATCTCGATATTTTTTTTAAGACGAGCACAATTTCGTGTCATAGTAAAAAATATAGATTGTATGTATGTATTTAGTTTGCATAATTATTGAAATATTTTGAATGATTCTCATTTTTCTTTTGGTTATTGTCATTTTAATTTAGGTTCACAACTGTTTTTATACTTTTATTACACATTTTACATTCCTTTTTAGCCTTCAATTTCAAATTTTTCTCTATAGATATAAAAAAAAGTGTATATATATATATATATATAGAAATGACTATTATTACTATTATTTTTTATTGCCTTAACAGTCCGTTCATTTCTGTATTTTTAATGTAACAACTATTTTCATCCTCTGAATCCATAAAATATCCACTTGACGAGAATTTTTATACGCTTTGAATTGTAAAAAGAATTATTTTTCCCGCCATTACTGCGTCACTTTACTTTTACGTATTGTCCTCGTTTTCTGTAATTCATTCGCAATTCTTCTTCGGAAAATTTTTATATTTCCATTTTCTTTCTTTCTTTTAAACTTATGGCATTTCTCAAATTTATTAAAGTTTTATTGGAGTTAATGTAGAATTTTATTTTTATAAAAAATTTTTTTTATGAAAAAAATATTTTATTTTTTGTGTATAAAAATATGGAAGTATTGTTCTTTTGATAATATTTTTCATGATAGGTAATAGTAAATTTTTTCTTTTTTTTTTTATAAAATCAGTTTTGATAAATTTAAAAAATTTTTAAGTTACTAAAAGAATTGAAAAAAATGTTCTAAAACATAGGTAAACAAAATTTAAAAAATTAGAACAAAAAAATAAAAAAACGGAAATAAAAAATTAAAAATAAGGATAAAATGTAAGAAATTGGGGCAAAGTGCAAAAAATAGAGACGAAGAATAAAAAATACAGATAAAAAATGAAAAATGGAGACGAAAAATAAAAAATTTAGGAAAAAAACAAAAAAAAATTCAAAGGAAGAATAGAAAATACAGACAAAAAAAAAATGAAAAATGGAGACGAAAAATAAAAAAGAACAGGAACAGAAAAAAAAATTCTGACGAAGAATATAGAAAATAGGGTTAAAAATAAAAAAATGGTGACGAATAAAAAAAAATAGAAACAGAATAGAAAAAATGCAAACAAAAAATAAAAAATAACAAATAAAAAATAAACAAATTCCAAAGAATAATAGAAAATGAGGACAAAAATAAAAAATTCAGACAAATAATTTAAAATATAAACAAAAAATAAAAAAAAATACAAGCTAAGAATAAAAAATATAGACAAAAAATAAAAATAGGGGCAAAAAATAAAAAAAAATAAGAATAAAATAAAAAAATACGAATAAAAAAAAAGTAGGACAAAAAGTTAAAAATAAAGACGCAAAATAAAAAGTAAAAACGAAAAATAATAAATAGTGTCAGGGTTGCCACCAAAATTTAATTTTTTTTCCCTGACCTTTCCTTGATTTCCAGACAAAATTTTGACTTTTTCCCTGACCATAAATTTTTCTTTTGAATTATTATTTTCTAAAATTTAAAAACAAATTCTAATAATTTATGATAAAGTTCTTTTGAGAATTTTCAAATTCATTTGTTTACAATTAATTTCTTCGAAATTTTGATTATTCGCAAATTCTTCAATTAAATATACATTAGAAAATAAAAGCTTAAAATAATTTTAAAAAATTGCGATTAACCTTTTTGAAAAAAAAAATAGTTTCATAGAATTTTTAATTAAAAGTATGAAAAATTCAAATTTTCAAAGATTTTAATTTGAAACCTTTACAAAATTCAATTATTTCTTAAAAATTGCAATTATTAGTAACTTCTCCAAACTGAAATCTAAAACTTTATATGAAATTAATTTTTAAATCAATTTTTATTAGAAAATTCTAGGAGAATTTAATTATTTAAATACAAATGTAAATAATTATATAGAATTTGATCAACAAATTTTTAAATAATTGAACTTTTTCGACAAATTTTAATAAAAATTTTATTAATAATTACATTTTTTGAAGAATTTGATTAAAATTTTATTAAATTAAAAATAATTGAAATTTTGCAATGAGTTTTATTATTTATGAAAATAATTGAGTTATTGCGAAGAATTTTATAAAAAAAAAAGTTTACAAAATTAGTTTTTTTCGAAAAAATGTTTGCAAATTCTATTTTTAATAATTAAATTCCTGTGAAATTTTCATTATTTTAGAAGATAATTAAATATTCGTTTAGAACTTTGGCAAAAATTGTTTTTAAATAAATGAATTCTTTTGAGAAATTTTATTAAAATAGTAGAATATTAAAAATCATTGAATTAAGAAAAATTTTTGAAAAAATTGGAATTAGGACAAGAATTTTTGTTGACATTTTATAAAAATAATTAATAAATAGAAAAATGGAAAAATAAAAAAATGAAGACAAAAAGTAAAAAATATTAATTCAAAAAGTAAGAATAAATGGATACAAATAGAAAGAGTAAACAAATAAATAATAATGATAATAATGATAGTAATAATAATAATGATATTTAAAAAAAACAAAAGACAAAAATCACAAAATAAGAATGATAATAATGATGATAATAATAACAGTAAGAATAATAGTAATAAAAATACTAGTAATAATAATAGTAATAATAATAATAATAATAATAATAATAATAATAATAATAATAATAATAATAATAATAATAATAATAATAATAATAATAATAATAATAATAATAATAATAATAATAATAATAATAATAATAATAATAATAATAATAATAATAATAAATAATAAGTAAATATACTTAAAAAAATAAGTCACAAAGAAACAATTAAAACTCGTTACTTGTCAGAAAAACGTACAATAAATTTTTTCTACTATTACAAGCCAAAAATTAAAAAACTTACGACTGTTTTTGCTTTATTAGAATTTCAATGTTTATACTGTTCATAGGGAAAAAAATATTTCCAAAATCTCTTTCCCCCTCTCTCTCTCACTTTCTCTCTGTGATAATAATATTTTTTATGTTCAGAATAAATTTCATTTTAAGTGATAGCAATTTATATGGTGTGCACCTCTCTTTTTTTGATATTGAGGTTTGAAATATACATTTGTTTCCATTCTTCCCTCTCTCCGCGCTTTTATTTTCACGTCACTCTTGCTCGATCGAGGGAAACTTCCCCTAGGAGTTGTGTTGTTTCCATTCTCGCGAGCGTGTAACACGTGTGTTTTCCCCAAGACCGCCCCGACGCTACTGTCGGCCAACTCCAGCTGCTTTAAGCGCGATCAATACGTTTCAGATAGTTGAGATGAGAGGAAGTTGTTGTACATATATTTTCTAGATAATAAATCCATTCAATGGACATTTTTTATGTTAAAAAAAAAATATCAATGTTTATAATAAATCTATTGTGTAAAATTAGGTATAATTGTTATTTAATGGAATAGAGGTGATATTGGAAAAATAAATTGTGGACAATTTTCTCTGTTTCAAATAAGCTTGTTCGATTCCCTCTGTAAAATGCGATTGGCATATATGAATAGAGTGCGTACAATCGAATTGCGAGCCAAACCGGATATTTCCGATGCGCCGGCGCACCTTTCCGGGAGTTATTCAAATTTTGTTTTGTTTTTTTTTCTTTTTTTTTTTTTGTTGATAATGTGAGGAATGTTATTGCACTCTATCATGCGAGACATTTTAATTTCGGGGTGAATTTTTTTTTTATAGTTATTCGGAATTTGATGCTGAAAAAAATAGATTACTTTTCGAGAAGTTTAGGAAATAATTGGGAAAAGTGAAAAAAATATAAATAAGAAATGGAATAAACGAAAAAAAAATATAAATAAGAAATAGAAATATGAAAAATAGTATATAAAATACAAAAAAAAAATAGAAAGAAATTAAAAAATGTATAAATAAGAAAAAGAAATATAAAAAAGGTTAAGAAATAAAAAAATTAATAAATTAGAAACAGAAAACACAGAGGAAAGAAAATAAATAAGAAATGAAAAAATTGAAAAATAGAAGAAAGAAAGAAAATAAAAAAATTTTAATAAAAAATAGAAATAAGAATGAAAATAGAAATGAGAAACCTAGAAAAGAAAAAAAAAGAAAAGAATGTATTTAAGAAATAGAAAAACAAGAAAAAGACAAAAAATTGAAAAAATAGTAATAAGAAATAGAAATAAGAATAAAAATAGAATTGAGAAATAGAAAAGAAAGAGAAGAGAAAGAAATATTAATAAAAAGTAAAAAAGAGGGAAAAAAGAAAAGAACTTAAATATATATAAGAAATAGAAAAATCAGGAAGTCGATTACGTAATTTCATTTTGACTTTCTTTTTCACTTTCATTTTCACTTTCACTCTCGTAGATTTTTATTTTCATTTTCACTGTCACTTTGATAAATTTTCATTTTCACTTCAACAGATTTTAATTTTCTCACTTTGAAATTTTTCAATTCTATTATTTCAAGATAATTGAATTTTTTAATTTGAATTTTTGAATTTTTGAAAATTTTTGAAACAATTGAAATTTCTTTACATTCTATTAAAAATAATTAAATTCTTTTAAAGAATTTTATTTAAATTTTTCGAAAATAATCAAGGGAAGTTAGTTACCGTAATTATAATTTTATTTTTAAAAATTTCTTCGTAATATATTCAATTATTTTCATAAAGCTTTTAATATTTAATAAATATTAAAACTCATTGCAGAATTTCAATTATTTTTAATACAATTTTATTATACAATTAATACAATATTAATACAATTTTATTTTTATTTTTATTTTTATGAAAATAATTGAATTCCTTAAAAAATTTTATTATTTATAAAAATAATTAAATTCCTGTGAAATTTTTATTATTTATGAAAATAATTAAATGTTTGCATACAATTTTATTAAAAAAATTTTAAATAATTGAATTGGTTTTGGGAAATTTTATAAAAATAGTAGATATTGAAAATCATTGAAATTAGAAAAATGCATTTTATTTTTGAAAATAATTGAAATTAGGACAAGAAATTTTTTGACATTTAGTAAAATAATATTGAACTTTGAAGAAGAATTATGTTATTTATAAAGATAATTGGGATTTTTACGAGAATTTTTTTCAAATTTTGAACATAGTTGAATTTTATATTATTTTTTTAAATAATTGAATTTCTGCAATTATTTGTAATTTCTCCAAAATTGAATTTTTTTTAGTGTTTTTAACAAAAATTTTAATTAGAAAATTTTTAAATTCTATTATTTTTAAAATATTTGCTAATTTTATTTAAAAAAGGCAGTAAGAAGAATTGTTGCTAGTACATATTTAATATAATAATTAATATTTTATATTAATTTTAGTTTGTGAAGCTTCACTAATATATATTTAATGTTAATTTAAAATAGCGATTAAACAATAAACATAATTAATGATTAATATTTAATATTAATTTAAATTAGTGGTTAAATAATAAAATTAAAGATATTTTTATTAAAGCATAATCTTTTCAGGAAAAGAAAAATAGCAGAAATTTTCGGTACTTTATATACGTTTCATTCTCTTTTTCTTTTTTAAATTTTATTTTCACCTTATATGAGAGAAAATGTTTAAAATGTAAGACAATTATTGACTCTCTGTGTTATTCAAATAATGAAGAAAAAGTATAAAATGATAAAATGAATATTATGAAAATACCTTGAATGTTATTTTAAACAATTTTTGAAATGAATTCTTTGAAAATTTTTGTTTTATATAAAACCTTGGGGACATTTGAGAATTTTTATGGGAAATTCCAAACAAGATAGAGGATTAAAAAGTTATTCCTTTTTTCTTTTCTTACTAAAAGTCATGATGTCATGAGTGATGACCTTGCCACGATGATACTCACAATAGTCTTTTCCTATCACACAGTAGTGACTTGATAAAATAAATCTACTGATATATGTATTTTCTACAAAATATATATAATCATGTTCTGTATAGTGTGTTTGTCTAGATTATTTCTGTTTTTAAATTTTTTTTTTATAAATGTTTATATTTTCTATAAAATGTTATAGTAAAATAAAAAAAATAATTATCGACTATATAGTACTCGCGACTACCAATATTGTACATCCAGAAAAAATAAATATACTTTTCTTAGAAACTAATAAACTTTTTATTCGTTTCAAGAAAATTTTATTTATACAATATATTTATAATAAATTTTAATAATTTTTGTAAATTAATAATAAACTTTTCCCTGGATGTAAAAAACTATGGAGGTTAAAATAAAATTGTTAGAACTATTCAGGTTAAAACGTTAAAATAGTTAATAAGTTAAATAATTTTTATTTACCGAACAAATAATACAGTTATTTTATTATTTTTATAAATTATAAATATATAAAATTATAAATTTTTAGAAATATAATAACATTATATTATTATTATGATTATCAATCTCAAATGTCCGCAAGACTTTAAAAATATTTCCAAAAACGATTCATTTAAAAATTATTATCAATGGAAAAATTGAAACTCTAAAGTTTAATGTTAATAATAATTAATAATTATTATTAACATTGAACTTTATAGTTTAAATTAAATTATTAATACCCATTTTAAATATTACATTTTAAATTATATGAATTTTAACATTAAGTTTAAAATATTAAATTTAAAATATTAAATTTTATTAATATTAAATTTTTTAATTGCAGGTAATTTCGAAAATGGAAATTGGAGTGGCAGAGGAAGAGAAGTTCTCCACCTTCATCATCTCCCACTTTTACATGACAGTCAATGGCGAGGATCACTTCTGTAAGCGGCGTGGGTAAGTAAAATTATTGCGAAATTTGAAAATTATTTTTAGATATAATTATATAATTATAAATCATAAAATAATTGTAAATTGTAAAATATAATTATAAATTATGAAAAAATATTTTATTTTTACATCGCGTGTCTCGTTCGATCACGAGTTTCTAAATTCACTCCTAATTACCCTCAATTTAATATTTTTATACGAAAAAATTAATGTTTTAGAGTAAGTATAGATTTTATCGAAAATTTTTTCAAAATTAATGACAATAAAAAATATAAAAAAAACGTATTAACAATAACAAACTTGTCCCATTAATAAACGTTAGAAAAAAATTTATTTGATTCAAATAACCGATTACTTGACTATTATCAATTAAATATTTAATTGAATCAAATAATTTTTATTCGAATAGATTTATTCAATTCATAATTGATTTGAATAAAAATCTGGTAAAAACTTCAAATCCAGAATTTATTGGTTTAGATACAAATTATTTCATTTAAATAAAAAATTATTTTATTTTCCGGGTTTTTCCCGGTTTTTTTTTCTCATCAAATTTAAATATATTTGATTTCGAACATAAATAAATCTACAAATGGCTTCCAAATTTTTTATTAGAGTTTTTCTGAATAATTAAATTTTTTTGACATTTTTTTTTAAATTTTTTGAAAATAATGTTTTTTTAATAATTTTCATTAAAAATTTTGAAAATAATTGAATTAAACAAAGAATATTTTCAATTTCTTGAAATAATCTTGTATGTTCATAATTATAATTGAAAATTTGATTAATTCAATTTTATTAAAATTTATTGATACTAATTGAATTTCTGCAAAGAATTTTACTATTTATAAAAGTAATTGAATCCTTACAAAGAATGTTGTTATTTATATAATTAAATGTTTGCGTAGAATTTTATTAAAATTTTTGAAAATAATTGAATTGTGGAGAACAATTTAATTATTTATAAAGATAATTGAAATTTTAAGGAGAATTTAAACATATTTTTAAATATAATTGAATTTCTGCGAAGAATTTTATTACTTTTGAAAAAAAATTGAATTGTTTTTTAGAATTTTATGGAAATTTATAAAAATAATTGAATTTTTGTAAAGAATTTTTTTTTAAATAATATTCAAAATAATTTTGCTCTTTATGGAAATAATTGAATTATTAAGAAGAATTTTTTTACAGTTTCTAGAAATAATTGAATTCTTTCGACGAATTTTAATAAAATTTTTAAGAATAATTACATTTTTCAAGAAATTTAATTAAAATTGTGTTAAAAATAATTAAAATTTTACAATGAGTTTTACTATTTATGAAAATAATTGAATATATTACGAAGAAATTTTTAAAAATAAAATTATAATTACGGTGACTAACTTTTCTTGATTATTTTCGAAAAATTTAAATAAAATTCTTTAAAAGAATTTAATTATTTTTAACA